CCTTTTTTCTGGTAGAAAATTTCCTAAAATATATGTTTTTCTATCATTTTACTTACATAGTCTGAAGTCATCTTTGTGTTTATCTCATCAACTATATCTCCTTATTGAAGAAAAAAACAACATATTATTTTCTTGGTTTCTACCTAATCAGAACACCGAAAATACATATAAATAAATATTTTGAGCCAATGAAAAAGTCTCCATGTTGAATGTATATGATATCAGGTGGAGACCATTTTGCTAAAGCCATGTTTTGCCAAGTAAAGTAGCAAATTTCCAGAAAGATGGTGGTTTGGGAGATGAATTTTATAATTATGAATGCCACATTATATTTTTTATTGTTATTATACATCCTTCCCCCACCTCATTCACCCACTGCCTCGAGATTTTAATATGTTCTCTCGTAAAGGAAAGAGTAGTAGAATTAGAGATATCTGAATTACTGTATTGGGGGTAGATTTAGTAAGACTCCATTTGACATTTATTTGTCTGTTTATTTATATGTCTATCAGTCTGTTTACTTGGGTGGAGTGATATTATTTGGGATTAGTGGACCCTTAGGCAAATGGAAGGATAAAAACTGACTCTAAATAACTTTGGATAGAATCATATTTTTTGATGTTGTTGAAATTTGCAGAGTTGTAAAAACGTGGCTTTGCAAACCCAGTCACATCATAAGTATTCAATTGGTTCTTCCTTATCTAGCCGTTTCTCCCCCATTACTTTTTTTAAATCAATCTTCCACAGGTAGGCATTCTGATTAGAAACTTCTTGACAATTCTAACAATCAGTCAGCCATGCAAGAGATAAACATCTGAGAACAAGAAGGGCCATTTCACTTGTTCAGCAGCTTATTCCTTTTTGAGGAAAAGGTGATTTCCGTTTCAATGGATTGCAACATCAAGAACTGAATAGTTTTGTTTATTTTTAAGCCTAATTAACTGCCTATTCAATACTGGTCTTGGGCAATATACTCTTATTTTATAGTATTGGCTCAAACACTTGTAAACTAGAAGTTCAAGAAGTTCTCAAGAACTGAAATGAATTTTATATTTATTTTATTTTGACTCTTAAAATGGACTATGACTAATGACGCAACTGGAAAAAATCAACAAAATAGTTTTTGTTGTTTAAAAAATTTGTAAAACATATAATGTCAAAACAACTTTTCAAGGTATTGCCTCAGATTCAACTCAGTGGTGCTTGGAAAATTCACCCATATTGTCTCATGTCTGTGGGTATCACCCAGCTAAAGCAGCAGGTGAACAGAGCTTCACTGGTGTTTCTCTAGCACAGGCTGTCTTCTTTCCCTTTATAAATGATTTCCCTGCATAATTTTATCATTGTCCATAATATTCAATATCATCTTGTAGAGTAATGATTCTCAAATCCACAACATTTTTCTAGAGCGCCAGATTTGTTATTTCAACTGTCTACTGGATGTCACCTCTTTGTTGTACTGCAGCCACCTCAGACTTTATATCACACTTAAATCATCACTTCATCAGTGCATCTCTTTTGTTGGCCCTGCCTTGCCTAATTGCAACAACATTCACCATCGGCATCAACCTCAGCCTCTTCCTTTTCTCCAACCAAATATCAAACAGCTTCAAGTTCTAAGGATTGGAATGACCAAAATATTTCTTGGAAGGATATTGCCAATGTTCAGACCTTACTTCTGTAGCCTTGGCTAATCTTTGAGCAAACTTTTATATGGTTTTCTTACCACTCTTTCCACTCTTTTCTGTTCTCCATGGAGGATAAAAATTGTACTCATTACTCTTTACCATAACATTCAAACTCATTAGCACAAATAAAAGACCCTTCAGAAGGCAAGCAGAACCTTTTTCATTGGGCTCATTGAATGTTATTTCATACCACATTCTTTTCTCCAGCAAAACTGAACCTACTATTATTATTTTTTAATTCAGTTACTTTTCTCTGTACTACTGTTATTTTTAAAACACAGAATATTCAATTATAATTCTGTAATATTCTTTAAAAAGCTGTTACTTCAGCTTTTTACCATTTCTACTCCACCTGGAAAATACTTCATAATCTTAATATTTCCATTTCTAAAGTTACCTCCTTATACAATTCTTTCCCAACTTTCTCATATATGGTTTTAATTTGACTCTGTAGAGCCTTTGCTCATAGTTCCAGTATAGGATATTCTTGGTATCACCTGGCATTGCACTTTATGTTTACATATTCTGCTGAGTGGACAGTGAGCTCTTCTTAGGAAAGAAATGGTTTTATTCATCTGTTTATCACCAGGACATGGTTCAATATTGAGTCCCCCTCAACATGCATTCTCATGGCACTCTATAGTCCTTTCTCCTCTGTAGTACTTGTCATGATTGTAACAAAATAATTAATTGCACAATTAGTTAATTAAGCTCTGTCTTTCCAGATAGAATGATAACTCCAACAACACACATTCACTTTTTCAAGCCCACCATCTATTGTAATGCCAACAGATAGTAGTAACTCAACAAAAATGTGCTAAATGAATGAAGTGTTCCTATGGGAGTGAACACCAATAGCGTAAGCAGTATTAGCTGTCAAGGGATGGTTGTGCAATAATCTGTTTTCTCTTATATATCCCTTTGCTTAGCAGAGACCTATTCAGAATATAAAGATATAGTGCACAAATTAATATTGGTGTCCTTTTATAATATTCTTATATGTGAAGATATCCTTTAATCTCATTTAATTTATAGTTGTTAAGAGAAATTCTTTCAACTACTTACTGTCTGGCTGACCCTATGAAAATTAACAACTTTTTCTGATGCTGCATTTTTCTTATCTATAAAGTGAGCATAAGTAACAAGTTTGGAATTGTACTTTCTGAGGATTAAATAAGGTACTGTAAAGACTTGCAATTGGCATCCTGACTGCTGCATATTGAATACCCAGCAAATATCCTCCCTCTTCTACATTTCCCCCTTCCTTCATCCTCACTGTCCCTCTCTTCCTCCCTCTCTCGTAGCCTATCACCCTCCGTGTTTGTCTTCCTGCCTTCCTGTCTTCTTTCATTCATTCCTTTCTTTCTGCTTCTCTTCCATCCTTACTTTTGTCCCTTCTCTAATAGAGAATCATGTCTTATTCATCTCATTTTCTCTAGAACCTAGCACTACTGGTGATATATAACAAGTACTCAATAGGTATTGTTGTATTCATATTTGAATCACCTGGGATAATGGCCCTTTAACCTGAGACCACATATATAAATCAGATAAAATTATTTAGGAGTATTCCATATTTGCAGAGAAAGCTATCATGAGAACATGCTAGCTCCCAAGATAACTTAAAAGAATAGTGTGCAACATATATTTTTGTATATTTGATTAAATTTAAGCTCAATGAGTCATTTACTCAGCATAAAAATTTTACATTTGGAAAAATAGAAATGCTTTAGAGAAGTTCCATTGCTTTAAATGTATCAGCCTTGGGGATAAACAATAGGTCGCTTTGATTTATAAACCATCTGCCTCTGGTGCCATTTTTCTTGGAGGCACGTGAGTGAAAGCTGGTGAGTTTCAGTTGTTTTGGAAGCTAGTGACTTCATTTATCTGATGAGTATGGGGAGTGTAGTGTGAAGGGTGGTTCTAACAATAAGTTTAACAAGCTATCAGAGCGAAGGGTATTGTTCAAAAACAGAGACCAACAGCTTGAAATACAAATGGAAAGAAATTAAACCTTAAAACTATCAGGGCAGAGCAGACCAACAATTGAAGATTAATTAGCTCTGTGGCAGAGATTGTAAGAGAGTTGGCCTCCTATGCAGGGTTGGAGGAAAGGAAGAAAAAAACGAAAGTTCCAGATGGAAATGGGTAAGAGAGCAAGTTCTCAACTCCACTGAGACAGCAGCATGGTCATGGTTTTCACGAACACAATTCTGCCCTGGAATATGAAGTCAACAAGGAATGCCTGTTCTTACCTTCCCTAGACTTCGTGGTTACTGTCTTTTACTACTTCCATTACAGCTCCTCAGCTACTATATTATAATTGGTCTTGTTGTTCTTTCTTTTATATTTGCTTTTGCAGCCGGATTTCTACGATTAAAGCCAGTTCCTGTCTTTTCTTACCTAGTGTAACCTCCTTCAAGCCATATACATTACCTCCATAAATATTTAAAGTAAAAAGAATGTTTAAAGAAAGGGAAGTGGGAAGACAAGACAAATGGGAAAAGTGACATACTGGAGACGTTGCTAAGTTTGCCAGTTTCTTTGGCATGGTTCATGTAACTTGTAGACATGTTTTGCAATCAAAATATGGTAAAGCACTTTTGTTTTTTCCCAAGAAGTGATGTGTGTGTGTGCGTGTGTGTGTGATATATGTATATCACCTTTTCTTTCACTTTTTTTCTCAGTATATTTAAAGTAGAATAGGACATTGCACTTTATAAAGAAAGTCTCACTAAAATCATATTAAATGTTGCACACAGATCCACATTTTAATGTAGAATTCTATATTATGAATTTGTGAAAGAATAACTTAACAATTTCAATTATCTGTAAAATGAGCCTATACTGAGATATCTGTTTGCATCTATGTTTTGGCAACATCAGTAATGCCACTTTTCTCAGAAGCCTGGAAAATTTACCATTTGGGAATTGGTATGATAACAGCTGTTTGGATAAGTATTTTTCTTCCAAGTGCTTAATTCCTATGTAGTAATGCTTTTGATACTATGGTCAGCCCTCTGAATGAGGTGCTAAAATAAACTAATGAACTCCTAAGTGTCACACAACTACTTCTTTTGTTCTTCTCTTTCTTCCTGTCCAACCTGTGCTACTGATTCCAAAAACAGAGCAGCCTCCAGTGAACTTAAGCAGGAAGTTGTATACAAAGTGACCTCCCCACCCCCCAAGTAATAAGATCAGTGATCTAAATGTGATTGGTGGGTTTTGGTGATACTCCAAAAAGTAACTGATCTCCCATTATGTATGACTATAAAAGCAACAACATACAAAGAGAGGCAGAGCAGAAAGGAGGAAAGAACGTGGAGAGTTGAAGCAGCTGGTTTCTAATGAGAGAGAGAGAGAGGGAGAGAATGCACGAATATTTATCTTGAAGTCTATATTGTTCAGACGTTGGGATAAAATGGTGCCTACCATTTTGATCAGCACATTTTTGCTTCATTTTACTGCTGCTGTAGCTTCAGAACCGTAAGGGAGTATTACACCTTCTGTTTATATTGAAATACTAGCAAAGTGACCTTATTAAATATGTTTCATGTTAACATTTCATTATATTTTACCATTTCAGCTTCTGAGACTGAGTGCTGGTTTGCCCTATAAATTTTAAGCAATTATGAAGGGAATTGACATCTTCTTCCTATGATACCTCTTTCTGCATACCCAAGTTTATTGTAATACTGTCTATGAAAAATGTGCATGTTTTAGGAAATTGCTTTTTTGTGGATGTTCTCCATTTCTCCTACACTTCATTAGAGTATTGGTTACTTTCTTTGCATAGGCAATATATCCTATGGATCTCCTCTGTGATGCAGAGTTATTCTACAGAAAAAGCCTGTCTCCACCTCCTAAACCTTAATGAATCTGTATCCTTGAGTGTTGTCTTAGAATATGATGGATCCAGGACCACTATTTTTGACCAGTCTGTGGAAGAGGATAACTTCTATGCTTGTGCAGATTTCAAGGTGAGGCATTGAACTTGACAATTCAGAACTTCAGATGGAAAGATTAAATTATTTTTAAAAAAATTATTTCTAGAGAGTTAGCAAATCTTATTTTGGATGAATTGATGGAGTTAGGGAGGAAAACTGGAGAGTTCCCGGGAGGTAAGAAATAAAAGGAAAATTTACACACGCAACAAAACCTGCGAAGTAATGCCATTCTTCAATTACAGGAAGTAATAATGAGATAATCACTGCCTTTTCGATAGTAAAATTGTTCTACAGTCTGAGGAAAGAGAATGTGGGTAAAGGAAAGAAGGCTTGGGACTCAGGGAAACAAACAAAAAAACAAAAATAAAAGGCAAGAAGATACAAAAATAGTTCATTAGAAAGTGTCCTCATGGTAAATAAAGGAATTGTAACAGTGATCATTAAGTCTTTTATGAGGAAATAATGGGTTTACGAGTCTCTCTTATCCTAAGAAGCCAAATTAAGACACTGTTCATCATCTAAACATCTAAGATGTTTCCCATTCTCTGCTTTTCTTCATAACCAGGTCTCTCAGAAGTCCTCTGAACAGCTGGCTTTTGTGACCTTGTTGGCCAAGGGAGAGACTCTTAAAATCTCTGAAAGGAGATCTGTAGCAATCACTTCAGAGGCGACGGTAACTTTTATCCAGTCAGATAAACCCATCTATAAATCTGGAGAGGAGGGTAAGTCAATATTTGTGTTTCCTTTGTATTATTGATTTGAGAAATGCATTCTCCAAATTGAGAACAATCAAAACAGGTGAATTTATAGATGGTTTTTAAATGTATTCTTAATGTCATAGGATTGTGAATTTCTAGTATTCTTATTGATTTTCTAGATCAATTATGAAATAGTACCCTCCAACTCCAGTAACTGAATGCTTTGCTTCATAAAATTTTGGACCACTACTGTCGCTGTTTACCACTTCTAGTGACAGTCCTACGGAATATAATGATTGCAAGCATGGGATGTGGAGGACCGATTGTTTGTTTTGAATCATTGCTCCATAATTTACCAATGGGCAAGCTGATTAGCCCTCTTTTTTAGGATCAATTATTTAATCTGTAAAATGGAGATAAAAGTGTCTCACTTACAGAAATACTGTGAGAATAAAATAAGATAGCCAATGTAAAATAGTCCCTAATATACAATAATGACCCCATAAAAAATATTTACTTTTACTGTTATTATTCATGTTAGTAGAAGTAATCATAAACCTTATAACCTAGGTAAAGCTCTTCTATTTTCTTCATTACTGTTGTAAGTAAAAGTAGCAGAGAGAACACCAAACTGGGATTCAGAGGGTTTGGTTTTAGTCTTGGCTCTGTTAATAAGTTATTGGCTTTTCCCAAGTAAATTCTGATCTCTGGGACTTAGTTTTCCCATTTGTAAAATTAAAGGGTTGGATGAAAGCACCGACACATTTTATTCCGATTAACATTATATCTTTTTATGATTTATTGAGAAGAAATAAAATCCATAAAACCAGAATTGTTATAGTGAGATTTTTGCTGAATTATATTTTCTCTTCTGGATTTACTAGAATGCTATAATGTGAGTTATGCAACTATGTTACAAAAGTAACTAAAACAGTTTTTTCTGGAATGTTGCTAAAATTAACTTGTTTGATAGCATCAATATATGTTTCCAGGAAAATTCTGTTTATCTCCTATCTTACATGTTTTACGCTTGCTCTTCTATGACTAATTCTGCCACCAACTCTGAAGATATCCCCACGGGCTGTTAGGGTAAAAGTTTCCAGTGGTGGCAGCAGCTAGTATAGCCTTGGTAACAGCAAAGCATTGTGAACAGAGGAATTACAAATGTGCAGTAAGAGCTTTCCCCGTGGATCCCAAACCTCAACGGGTCAAATCAGAGCTAGCAGCGAAGGGAGCATAGTATTTTGTGATAGCAAAGCAATTAATCTCTAAGTCTATTTACAAGCAATGATACCTGAGGGATAGATAACAAGAAAAAAAAAAATCACCACCTCCTCTTTTTTTTTTTAGTTCGATTTCGCATTGTGACACTGGATACCAAGTTCAAGCCTATTAAGGATTTGGTGAGTTCAGTAATTTCTGATGATACAATGAAATTTAACACGTTGACACACTAGAAAAAAGAAAATTTTTCCTTAGAGCCACAGTGTTTTATTATGGAAATAGAATAAAATCTTAAAAAACAAAACGATCCTAATTTAATGGAAAATCTGTTATTCTTTATTGTTTTCCGTGCATGAGTTATATGAAACTTGAAAAATAGTTGAAGCAGCTCCCAAAGTGAGGAGATGCGTGAGTTAGGGCCTCAGGCTCACAACTAGAGTGAATTAAATACAACTCACATGGCAGTTAATGTGTTAAACAAGATAAACAAATCCATTGCTATGCAAAGAGTCTTCAGGATGTTTTCCATATGTATGGAAATAAGGTTCTAACGTGGAGTACTATATAGATACAGTTTCAATGCTAATTTCACATTTAAATGTAAAATTTTAATTTATAGTGAGTTATTTATACTTTTTAAAGTCTTTTCATCATATAAAGAAAATAAGTTGCATGGAACCTACTTTCTACTTCCCCAAAGAAGTCTGGGATTTCTTTCACATTGGGTGTTTTCCTGGCATCTTTAGCTATGGAAACTTTGACCTCTGGAGAAGTGAGGGCTAGGTTTCAATCTTAAATTAAGATATATAATCTTTATAATGCAACGTTTGGCAAAAGTATTGTACTATTACAGTATTAATATATAGTGTTTTTTTCTTCCTCTTTCAGTATCCTTTAATCACAATTCAGGTAAGAGATCTGCTTTTCTCATCTATTTTTTAGATATTCAGATAAAGAATGCTGTGTGTCTAGTTTTCACAATGCATAACTAGAAACTAAGATTACTGAAAAGAGGGAAAGAGAAGTGTTTATGTGCATATGCAGTGTAAGGCACCAGATGAAGATTTAAATAAAGGGAAAGTTGCTTTTAGAGTAGGCTTTTTTTTTTCTTAAATAAAAGATCAGGCTCTTTCTAAGGTAGGTATATATTCTGAAATCGCTTAATTTGTCTGCCAGCCCTTCTCAATCTTAATTTAGCCATGTCTTATTTTAAGGAAGTAGAAAACAAAACCATCTAAAATTTTAGAAATATGCTAGAAGGTGAGATTATAAAATGGACTGCTTGCTTTCAGATAATAGTTAATGAAATCTTTTCCTATCAGTTTCAATCTCTAGAGAAGTGTGGCCTTCAAAATATTTGAAGACCTATGCCTATATCAGTAAATAAATTGTATCAACCGCCTCCAACATACATGTTTTAATCTCTGTATACAGTATGTACCATTACTATTGGCTAATTCTGCAGATCAATACTCTGAAATCCTGAGTGTGTCATTAATGATTATGTGTGTAAACACAATGGTCTTCCTTATAATTTAAATGCTTTTGACCTTGTTATATGGGTGACAAAAAAAATCACATCAGCCATTTTCATGTTCTGCATTATTAGTAATTTATAAATTCTATTATCTTCACATCCTGATTCAGCTAAAGTTGTGCTCCATTGAAAGTAACAGAAAGTTTAACTAAAGTTGGCTTAACCACGTGAAAGATTTTTTGTTTTCACAAACCACTAAGGCTGAGTGTAGGCACTTCAGTGTTAGAATAGCACAACAAAAGCACAATATTACCAAAGTCCGAGGCTTCTTTTATTTAACCTTCCTGCTGTCCTCAGTATGTTGTTATCTTTTCAATGCTAGTTGACTCTGATTCATTTAGAGGGAATTTCTACCCGATGCTTTTCCGTTACATTTGATTGGCCAGCACTTGGTCATATGGGTAACCCTAACTAAAAGGAAGTTAGGGAAATCAGTTTATCTTTCTAGACTTTCTAGTAGAGGAAAGGTAAAGAAAAAAAAAATATATATATATATACACACACACACACACACACACACACAAAGTAGGTAACAAAGAATGGTTTTGTTTCTTTGTAGAGATCTTTTTGTCAGGGTTTCTTTAATCACACTTGGATGATACCAATAAATTTACTGAACTAGTCTATGTAAGCAGCAATATGTTGAAAGCAAATAAAGGAGAAAGGCTGACATTATCAACCCTTTCTTATCATAGAGCTTCCATTTAGTAGCTCTTGTATGCAGTGTGTAATTCATGACCAACTTAGATACAGACCAAGAAAAACCCATGACAATTTTCATAAGTATTTGTTAGGGTAAATATCCCCTTGTGCACCTGTTGGTGTGGGTCCACTCTGCTTTAGGGAGCACTTACTCTGGAGCAAGCACATTGAGTTTTTAATTCTTTAGCTATGTAACTCTAATTAGAAATATCAAAATCAAAAGCATTAGCTACAGATTTTGTAATCCTTTTTGGGCTTATGAGAGATATATTTTAAATTTAAATGCACTGAGGAAGCTATGTTGATTTTACCATTTGAGATAATTAGTTTGATAAAATGGTAGCACTTTCTTTACTTCCAATAACTATAGAAAGTATCCAAAATATAGAAGGAAAGGATAATATTCTCATCAATCTCTGATTGTTTTTATTTCTTCATTATTTTCCAGGATCCTCAAAACAATAGGATTTCTCAATGGAAAAATGTGACTTCTTTCCAAAATATTACCCAACTCTCATTCCGATTGACTTCAGAACCAATGTTTGGAGATTACTCCATTGTTGTGAAAAGAAAATCAGGAAAGATAGTGACACACCCATTTGCTGTTAAGAGATATGGTAACCAATTGCTATTCGTGGTTGTCCTATATAAGAGCACAGAGGGCTGAACAAAACAATTTTTCTGTTAGACTTAGGCAAAACGAGGTGAAGCTTGATTTGGTTTCCTGTCACCTTCATTTCATGGTTTCACCTGCTTTATGGCCAGTCCTCTCTTGCTCCTCATTCCTTTCTCAGTATCCTTATTCTGATCCCTGCCTTTTGTTTTCCCCTTACGAAATATCCCATTTTCTAGAATCCAGACAATCTTCTAAGAAGGAGCTAAGTAATTATAACAGAAAAAAAGTGTAGAATTCTGAGGATAGGGAAGAGGGAGGAAGGGGGAAGAATTAATCACTGATGAGACACTATCATATATTATGGTAGACTGGTGACACACAAAATTTGGGATGATTGAAACATGGTGTCTGCAGATGTATGTATGGAAAAACATCGTGCATGGAAGCCTACTTAGTTATATGGTTGCAGTAAATTTTGCTCACCAGTCATCACGGGGGGACTGATGTATATTTCTCTTTGGTTCCAGTGTTGCCCAAATTTGAAGTTAAGCTCAGTGCACCACAAACAGTAACTATTTCAGATGAGGAATTCCAAGTGGGTGCGTGTGCTACGTAAGTATTTATTCAGGAGATTTGCCTTCACAGGTAAACACAAAGCTGAGAGAGAATGAGAAACAAGATTAATCATGTAACTTTATTTTGTATATGCTTACATTAAAATTATTAGAGAGATAATGAAATTCTCATGTTCCAACATTTTTAAAATATAAAGAAAAACATAAGTAATTAATTCTACCGACTGTTATTAACATTGTGATTTATTTTTAATAACATTTTCCATGACTGCACTCATACTTCTCTATTCACAATCATTTTTTAAAAAGTCCCCACATTATGCCAATCTTTTTATGAATTCCGATTTTTGTCCCATAAATATACCTCTATGTGGCTATACTCAATTACTTAATTATCCTTATGCTATATAACATGTAGGCTGTTTCATTTTGTTTTCCTAGTAATTAATAATTTTGTAACATATGTCTTTATGTGTAATTATATAAGTAGTTTTTGAATTAAAAATTGTTTACTTATGAAAGATTTACTTAAGAAAGATTTTCAAAAGTGGAATTACCAAGACAAAAATATATAACATTCTTTTAGTCTTTTATCCCCATATTGCTCACCAAATCTGTTGCGCCAATGTGAAATTCCAGCAGCTGGCATGAAAGTACCTGCCATCACTGAGTATTTTCATCAAAAAAAGAATGTGAGCTATCTAACATATCATAGTAAAAATAAGATATCTTATCAATTGAATTTGAATTAATTTGAATCCTTTTAAAGTAAAAAAATTCCTATATGATCTGAGAAATTTTACCTAAATTCTTTGAGGAAAAATCACACCAATAGATGAGGATGTCTAATAGATTGGTATACTCATGGTTAAAGATCTCACATATAATTTCTGTAGAAGACCGTAAAATATTGCTATACTGTTGTTAATCTATAATCATAAGTATACCTTCTCCAACTAGGTACACCTATGGCCAACCTGTGCAAGGGAAAGCCCAAATCCGGGTCTGCAGAGAATATTTTCCTTCAAGCAATTGCGAGACAAACAATGAAATATGTGAGCAATTTATTGTACAGGTACGGACTATGATCTTACTAAAAAAAAAGTTCTTACTCATTTTTTATTATATTTCTCTTTCTTTGGCTCCATTTATAAAAGGAACTTCACTATCTTCATTTTTTGGATAATGGAAGTTGCAGCTAACTAAAGTGAAGAGTGAGGAGAAAATATACAGTGTTTAACCATATATAGTCTCTCTCTCTCTCTCTCTCTCTCTCTCTCTCTCTTTTTAAATTTCAGAATATTACAGGGATACAAATGTTTTGATTACATAAATTGTTTTTGTACTGTTTGAGTCAAAGTTATAAGTGTGCCCCATACCCCAGATAGTGTGCATTGTACCTGTTAGGTATGAATTTACCCATCCCTTTCTCCCCACTCCCACCTGCTTGATTTCTGAGAAATGTCATTTCCATATGTGCACATAAGTGTTAAACGATTAGTTCCAATTTAATGGTGAGTACATGTGGTGTTTGTTTTTCCACTTTTGTAATACTACACTTATATACACTTACATGTGACACAAACTTAGCTTCTTTTAACTTCCATTACCTAATTACTAGCTAGTTTGAGCACCTTTTCATATTTTTGTTATCAATTTAGATTTGAGAACTCTTAATTACCTATATTTTTCCTTCAGTTCATGTGAAATTGACACTTCCATTTATTACCAATATTACCCTCCACCCCTGAACAATTTTTTTTTTCAATTCTCTTATTTGAACAATCAAATCATTGACTTTGATTGTGGTATTTTTGGCATATCAAGGTTCCTAATGTTTATGGGTTTCAATCCTTATAAAAAAAGTCTCACCTGCTCCTGTTTGGTACCTGTAGCTATCCAAGTGTTCTTTTAAGATTGATTAAAGCTGGGCATGATGACATGCTCCTGTATTCCCAGATACTTGATAGGCTGAAGTAGGAGAATCTCTTGAGCTCAAAAGTTCAAGGCTGCGGCGTGCACTGATCATGCCTGTGAATAGCCACTGCATTCCAGCACGGGCAACAGAGAGAGACCCTGTCTCTTAAAAAACATTGTATCCATTTTTCTAATAGACATAAAATTAATTTTTGATTGTGTTCCAATATAACAAATTTTTTCTTCCAGATGTATGCTGAGTTGTGTCAGCACCTATCTTATACAATTTTGTTCTCTTTATTCTAAAATCATGTTTATGAAAAGTTCATCCATTTTATTGGTTCTTATTTTTTTTCTTTTTTATACTTTTGTGTTGCTAAAACATTTATTTTAGCGTTAATCTTATTGATTCCTTTTTATGATATTTTAGTTATTTTTTTGGTTTTAAAAATATATTCACTGCTTTTTTATTAATCAACATATTCAGTGTTTTACATTTTTCTTTAACTACAGCTTAACACCATAGATTTTGATGTAAGGCATTTTTTTCCTTTACCCTAATATCTAGATTCTTATTGATTTACTTCATATTTTCTCTTTGATTCAAGGATTACTAAAAAAATGTTTTTCTCTTAATTTCGAAGTAATTAAGGTTCTTCTGACAACTTTTTATTATTTCATTTTAATTTGTATTAAAATTAGACAAAGTGAAATAGCTTTTTGTGATGTTGTTGATGTAATAGTTGATGGTTCAGAGGAATAGAGTCTGGAACCAGGATACCTAGTTAGCTCCACTATCTTTTAACTATGGGCAGTTTATATAACATACCTATGTTTCAGATTATTCATTTATATAATGGGAATGATAATAGGGCCTAGCTCATACAATAATTTTGAGGAGCAAATGAATTGATATATCCTTCAACATTTTAAATTTGAAATTCATAAATACTTTATTTAGAAATATAACTAAATCTATATTTCTTTATTGATATTCCTGATGAAGGATTACCTATTGATTTTTTTCTTGTTTTAAATGAACAATTTGCCTTAAAAAGTGTCTGTTTGGTGTTACACATTGATGAGTCCTTCTGTTCTACCTGTTTTTAGCACCTCTCAAGATGATTTAATTTCTTACTCTTAAAATACCATTTCACTCCATTTTTAGCCTTTAATCTCTTCCCATCTACAACATTTCCAGGAGAATTTACTTGGAATCTATAAAATGTAGATTACCTTTTTGCCTTGTTTGAAATGCTAATGTAAATATTCTCTTCCTCTTCCTCGTTCTTTAATTCTTTGGTCATTTCAACAAGTTTGTGAAGTAGAGCCATAGGGGGTAAGGGTGGGGTGTTATTTATGCTAAAGCTCTATATTTTAAAAAAGTCTCTTGGATTTGTAACTTTTTTGTTATACCTTGTCTTTATTTTTCAGTTGAAGAATGGTTGTGTTTCTCAAATTGTAAATACAAAAGTTTTCCAACTCTATCTTTCTGGATTATTCATGACACTTCACATCAGTGTAATTGTTACGGAATTTGGGACAGGTAATGATTGTATTTTATGAGCAGCCTGGGAATATATGGCAGTTTACTGAGGAGAAAAGTATTGAATTAGCACTATGCGCAAAATCCAGACCAATTATTGTTCAAAACAATAAGATGAAGTACCTTTGCCAATAGGTCAACTTGGCTGCTTTTGAATAAGCTTTTTCTAATAGCATTTAAAATAAAATTACTATGTAAATGTTACATAATTATACCTGGATTAATTAGACAGAGAAGCTTCCCTCTTAAGTAGTAGAACAAAACTAATAAATTATCTATCATTTTTAACTTTGTATAAATCAGTTGGTAAGCAACTGCCAGTCTAATTTCTGATTTAATATAACAGCTCACAATTTACATCTTGAGTGTCAAGTCTAGATCCCTGCCTATTTACGTAAATGAAGTTTTGTTGGAACATAGCCACATTCATTTGTGTATTTTGCTTAGGAGTTACAACAACACAATTGAGTAGTTGTGATAAAGATGGTGTGGTCTACAGCCTAGAATAACTATCAGATCCTTTACAGAAGAAGCTTGCCAACCCCTGTTAATACAACCGGGGATATTTGCAGTGCAAAAATGATTAGTGAGAAATTTACAAGATCACACTTAGTAAGCACTTAATAAATGTTTGTTAAAATAATTTTTTAAAAAAGAGGAAAGTAAGATTTAATTTGGGGCAGGGAAACCAAATTTATTTTCTAATTATTTCTTGTTATTTAGAAAAAGTTTTGGATTATATTAGTTATAAAGTGCTTTAGATAAATATACTTGATCAATATTGTGATAACATTCACAATGGGTAAATTCGTCACATTTATGGTGTAGTTAATAGTAACTTAGCTAGATATATTCAACTCTACTAATTCACTTGTTTAGTGATATCACAAGGCATTTCTATTTATTTTGCTATCAGATATTGTTTGAATCTTGTAAAAGTCTACATAAACAGTTATCTTGCAGGCATAAAAAATATTTCAGAAAGCCTTATATTTGACATGTCTATGACATTCTCCATCATAAAGAGAATCAAAAGCAAGAACTGAGTAGACTGATAGGAGGCAGGAACTTAAGAGCTTTTTATCTTGCTTCTCATTCAAATGTTTTCATATTAATTTCATTCTTCAACTTGAAGTATTTTATAACCAGATAATGTAGAGTATGCTGGAAACATACTTCAAAGCATTCACACCTCTTTTTCAATGTAAACAAAGAATATAATTCTGTGTATAGAAAGTTCTCACATGTACCCCAAGCTATTTGTTCTTTTTAAATTTTTGATCAATCAATTAAACCCTCTCTAACACTGTTTCATCATTTCTTACAGGTGTGCAGATCAGTGAAAAGACCTCTATTTCTATCACTCAATTTCTTGGAAGTGTAAACTTTGAGAACATGGACTCTTTCTATAGAAGAGGGATTCCCTATTTTGGAACTGTAGGTTTGACTAAAAAAAACATATTCTCCTTTCTTTTGTCTGAATAATAGATATGAAAATTTCTGGCCACTTTTTTCCTACTTTCATGATACATTTTTAGCATTACTGTGTCTGAAATATTGGAAAAAGTCCTAGGCTGAAAAAAAATCAACAGATAAAATTATAGCTGTTTCCATATTTTATACATATATATTTAATAGAGCATCTTGCTGTCTATTATAGTTTAGAAAATTATAAGTGATCACATTTATGAATGGAAATTTTTAGTTTCTGTAGAAATGTGAAAATTTGGTGTTTTAAGAATATTAATACTTCTTTTTTTGTACAGCTTAAATTTTCTGGTCCCAATGATGTACCTATGGTGAGCAAGTTGTTGCAACTGAATCTCAATAACAAATTTATAGGAAATTACACTACAGATGAGAATGGTGAAGCTCAATTTGCCATTGACACTTCAGATATATTCGATCCGGAGTTCAACCTGCAAGTAAGACATCAAAGAGTTGATGAAGACTCTTAGATATCCCATAGAGGATTTGAATGTTAGGAATTATAAACATTGGGAATATCTTAAAAGATGACTTGACTCAAGAATATATTTTAATAAAGTTTTAAAATTTAGCTTTTTTTTATATGATTTGCTTGTTCATTAAATATGAGAATACTTGTTCAAGAAGATGAGATGGTCACAGTCTATTACAATTGTTATAAATTCTCTAATGACCAATATTTTCCATTGAGAAACTAGAAGTAGCTCATGAAGATGATTTTGACTTTTAGATTATTTCGTGCATAGATAGGGGAGCTACCGTGATTTCTCTCTTTTCTGCTTAAACAGAATTTTGCAGTTAAGCAATTTATCAGTGTTCAAAAACAGTTGAAAGAAACAATGTAAGTCCAGTTTTCTGACTTCAATTAGAGAGTAAAAAACGTAAGGATTCATTGTTGGTCTAATGAAATATTCATGTCACATTTCAAGGTCATGCTTTGTTTACAAAAAGAGGAGAGTGCTATTAGTATTTCAGTTCTAATAATTTAACATTAAAATGTCAGCCACAAGCTAAGATTCCTCCCTGCTTTGAAGAGATATGAAGCTTTCCATTCTGTAGTAGCAACTGTCGTTGGAGGTCTTTATAGCTCTAAGATCCTTCACTTTCTTTTGTCCTATCAGGCCACATATATTCAACCTAAGAGCTGCTATCTTCCCAGCTGGTTGACGCCCCACTACACGGATGCTTATTTCTCAGTCTCACGCTTTTACTCCCGAACCAGTAGCTTCTTGAAGATTGTTCCTGAACCAAAGCAGCTTAAATGTAATCAACAGAAGATTGTTACTGTGCATTATTCCCTAGACAGCAAAGCCTATAAGGAAGACTCAAATGTAAACTTTTTCTATTTGGTAAGTCTCTGTTGGTGGATTCTTGGAACTCTGTCTGATTGTATGTCTGCTTAGCACAGCTTAAAAAATGTGCATCAGTCATGCCCTGATAATCTGAGTGAGCTCAAACCCCTCACTTTGCTGATAATTGCTATTGTATCCATTAAAAACAAGCAAACACACATATGAAATGTTCTAAGACAATTTAACTTTCCCTTACATTGAAAAACTTGCTATCCAGAGTCTGCTTTCTTGAGCATTCAGTTGTACTCATATCAAATATTTATGACCCTTTATGATAGTAAAATATTAGGCAGATACCAGAAAGTAAAGTGGAAAGCTCATTTGGTAAGCAGTAAAAGGAGTTAGCCCCCTTGGTTCTACCCATTTTGTCTCTTTATGGTATATTGAAGAATAAAAATGACACAGACTTGGAAATTGACATTCCTAGTTTAAGTTCTCTACCCCTTTCTACTTATCATCTGAGTTGGTCAGTCTTGGGCAGATTGTTTAAACTCTCTCAGACTTGGCTTCCTCAGCTGTATACTTGTAATTGGAAATAACAAGACTTACCTCCTAGGAGAAGTTTTATATGGGAGGCACTGCTATTAGGACTTTATATGTTACCTCGTTTAATCAGCTTTATGGATATCCCATCTTACAGATAATGCAACAGAGGCAAACAGTGGAAACATTTTGTATTAAGTTACAAAGTCAATGATTAGGTGAAGGCAGATTGGGAGCCAGACAGTCTGGACAATGTCAGAGCTTTATGTACTACTTTGCACTACATATCATTTACAAAGTTTCTAGTACATAATAGGTTCTCAATCAACTGTAGTCACTTTCTCTACTCTTGTCCAATTAATGCAAAGTTCATTATTAATGTTTGTTTGTTAAAACTCAATTAACATTTTTTAAGGAGCAGAATTAACATTAGATAATTCATCACCTAATGACAGTATGCTAATGTGATATCATATGAGATAATATGTCACATGTTGTGTTTTCTTTGTTCTGCACAGGTGATGGTAAAAGGAGCTATTTTCCTCAGTGGGCAAAAGGAAATCAGAAACAAAGGTGTATATAATACATTCATTTTTAAAATACATACTCTAGATTCATTGTTTCAATTTTTAAGTAAATATAGTGATAGAGTCATGAAGTTAGGAAGAGCATCTCTTTATTTCAATTTGTCCATGAAAGGCTGTGGTTGGTACGGCCCAAGGTAGGCTACTAAATATTTCGATGAAGGAGATTTTTACCTGTTTCTATTTTTGCCAGATCTTAAAGTACATTAAAGTGATGCCCCAAATCCCAGAATTGTTATTATCTAAATTGTGCAACCTTCTTTATTTGTACATGTAGTTCCCAATTGATAAGCCATTCTCCTTTAACGAAATGTACCCTGTGATCCAGGAAACTTTTGTCACTGTGTCTGTTGATCTTCTATTTACACAGCCTGGAAGGGAAGCTTCTCATTCCCAATCAACGTCAATGCTGATCTGGCCCCCGTGGCTGTCATGTTTGTCTACACCCTTCACCCCAGTGGAGAAATTGTGGCTGACAGTGTTAGATTCCAGGTTGACAAGTGCTTTAAAAACAAGGTAATGTTTCTTCTATCTCCAGCCTGTCCAAAGTGAGAGGGGTGAGCAGTTTGCTCCTTGTTGTCTCCTTTTTCTCTGATTACAATAACCTTTCCGTGGTAGTCTCACACTAAATGTTGGTAATTAGATGATTAGGGGATGAGAGAATCACCACATAAATGCCTCATCTTTGGCAGTGGTGCTGATCCTGAGATGACAAGAGGGTGGTGAAGGAGATGTCTCTGCAAAGAGATTTGAGGATGAAAGTGGGCAGGAGAAAGGTACAGAAATGTATAAGGATTTAGTTGGAAAAGACCGAATTTATTAAAATTATTTCATATACCATTATCTCTACTCTCATTCCTTTTTTTTTTTCTACTTCAGGTTAGCATAAGGTTCTCTAAGGAGCGGGCGCTACCCGGCTCCAACACGAGTCTCTATCTTCAAGCAGCCCCGGACTCACTCTGTGCACTTGGGGCTGTGGATAAAAGTGTCCTTCTCCTGACATCAGAACAGCTGCTGTCGGCTGAAAGTGTAAGCTCTCTCTGTTTTATCTGAACTCCCACAAGTCTTAGCTTTTAGATGATGCTCTTATTTGAGATTGAACGTGTTGAAAATATCAAATATTTTCTTCCTTTGTTTCTTCATAGGTTTTACACTTACTTATTTTTCTTGGCTGGCCCAAGAAAAGGCTCATATCAATACAGAATTATAACAGTTTGGGAATTATATGACAATGTGCCTTTTAAAAAAATCAAAGATGTGAAAACCTAGAGTTAGAAGAAATATCTGTGTTGTACATATGCTTGGATACAGTCTACAGTTATTATTTATTAATAGATATTGTATTTTCTTAAACATTTCCAGACCAGCAAATCCAGAAGTACATCAAAATTATTTCATTTAACAATTGTTTTATGTTTTTCCTTTATTTTTATCAGAGATACATACAAATATTGAAATTTATTATCATATTTAAATCTAATTCGATGATTTAAATTTTTTGATGATTAAAATTATACCTATTAATTGTAGAGAATGTGCAAGATACACAAAGACATAAAAAAGGAAATCTTTAAAATCATTCATAATCTTAACATTTAGATGTCTTTATGTTTTTGCTATAATTTTGAAAACCTCTTTCAAAGGCATATATATTTTAAAGAAATCTCACTGAAAATTCAGTTTTGTATTCTGCTTTCAACTCTCTACTGTAAGTCTACTTTTAAATATAAAGCTATCAAATTCATTAATAACCTAATATTTAATAACCATAAATCATGATATAAACTATATATTTTTCTAATGCAAAACTTAAATATATTTAAGTTTTCCTGTTAGAGGGAGCTAAGAAACTTCTATTTTGGAGCTTTCAGAAACTGGAGAAGCATCAACAAATAAAGGACAAATTTGTCTATAAATATGGAATACATATATATGCATTTTTTTCCTAAGAGTTCCATGGATCCGAAGTAAATAGCTTCTGCTCATTCTTCCTACAACCACAGGTAGCAAGATCTTAGAAAAACTGTCTCAAAAAAAAAAATCAAGAGACTTTATGGCCGGGTGTGGTGGCTCATGTCTGTAATCCTAGCACTGTGGGAGGCCGAGGTGGGCAGATCGTTTGAGCTCAGGAGTTCGAGACCAGCCTGAGCGAGAGTGAGACCCCATCTCTACTAAAAAATAAAAAGAAATTAGCCATACAACTAAAAACATATAGAAAAATTAGCTGGGCACGGTGGCATGTGCCTGTAGTTCCAGCTGCTTGGGAGGCTCAGGCAGGAAGATTGCTTGAGCCCAGGAGTTTGAGGTTGCTGTGAGCTAGGTTGACACCACGGCACTCACTCTAGCCTGGGCAACAAAGTGTAACTCTGTCTCAAAAAAAAAAAAAAAAACCTTCAAAAAAAATTCCAAAGGCATTTTCAGGGGTCTCTAAATATATCAGAGCCAAAAGAGGTTGACTTTATTTATAATCAACAGTCATATTAATAGTATAAATCAAGTGATGTTATATAAATGAGTGCATTTTAATTCATATTATGTAAGCTTATATTATTTTTCATATTATCTTATATAAACTTAATTTTTAGTTTAAATACTTTTAAAAGGTGCAATAATTGTACAGAGAACTCCCGCATACAGATTCACCAATTTTTATCACCAATCATTATCATAGATTCACCATTTTTTCTCTCTCTCATTCTCCATACCTATACCTACACAAATATGTGAATAGCATTTAGTTTTTTTCTGAACTATTTGAGAGTAGGTTACATATATCATCCTATGTTATGCCTTGATATATCAGTGCTCATTGCCTAACAGCAAGGATATTCTCCTACGTAACTATAATACAGTTATCAAATTCCAGACATTTAACATTGATTCGATGCTTGGGATCCAATCTGCCAACTATGTTCCATTGTTGTCAGTTGTCTTCTCTATCACATATTTTCCCCTTCAGTGCAAAATTCAGGACAAAATCACACACTGCTTTTGGTAGTTATGTCTCTTTAGTTAATTAGAATAGGTTAATCTGTTTCATTAATCTGTTTAGTTAATCTGCAACAGAGCCTTTCTTTGTCTTTTATGAAACTGACATTTTTGAAGAATTTAAACCAGGCTTTTGTTTTTTAGTAGAATGCTCCTCATTTTAGGTTTGTCTAATGTTTCCAATGATTAGGTGAAGATTATGCATCCCTGTCCAAAATACCAAATAAGTGATGTTATTTGTTTTTCAGGATGTGATCCAAGGTACATAAGATCTATCTGCCTATCATTGGTGATGTTAATTTTGATCACCCTGATAAAGGCGTTTTCTTGTATCTTCATTGGCTATTTTCTCCCTTGAACTTATAAGCAATTTGTGCTTAGTAACACTATGTGTATATCCTGCTTCTCATCACAACTCCCACTTAGATTTAGCATCCATTGATAATTCTTGTCTAAGCCAATCTTTCTATGTTGGTTGTAACATGATAATTTTCCAGTTGCACCTCTTCATCTTTACTTATGGACCCAAGGATTCCTATTTCTCAAAGGTTTATAATTCATTACTATTCTTAATTATTTTTTGCTCACATTTTTCCAAATTTGCCAGTGTGAGCAGCTTCAAGTTGGTCTTATGTGCTTTGACATGTCCAGATCATATTTTTAGCACTTGCCCATTTTCTGACACAAGTAGTTCCAGTCCCATCTTGAACCTTCTTTGTACTAGCCTTGAAAGCAACCATTGTTCCAAAGAGCTCTAGTTCCTTAACGAATAGTATGTATCTAATTTATCTTTTTTAATTTAATGACTGTCCAATTGACATAATATCATCTTTGCTATGGTGATTTGAGATACTTCCCTTCTCATATACTAGTATATTTCGGTCTGTCGTTATGTTTATTTCTTAACGTTATATTTCTACTCCACTGGTCCATCTGTCTTTTCATGTGTCAACACCACTATGTAGAGGCTTTGTAGTATATATTAATTTTTGGTAGGAATCAATTCATTTTCCTTCCTCAGATCTCCTTCCCTTTGCCCAGCTCTTCAATTTCAGGGTTTCCTTAGCTCTTCTTTCCTGTTTGATTTTACATATCAACTTTATTTTCAACTTTAACTCCAGGAAAAAAAAAAGTTTACTGATATTTTTATTGTGATCTTTATTGTAATTGCATGGAATTTATAAATTAACTTAGCTGCATCTTGATGGTGAGATATTATACTCTTGTGTCATTCATGAATTTTAATTTTAAAGTCTTATATACTTTCTTGTAAGCTTATTTGTAAATATTTTAACTTTTTTATTGTTATATGTGAGTTTTTTCTTCCATTATATCTTATAATGTTGTTATTTATGTACCTGGGAGTTTTCTGTAAAGTATTTGTATTTTTCTAATGTGCTGAATTTCTTTGTTGATTAAATTGAATGTCTCATTGGTTTTTTTAGAGTTTCGAGATATACTACCACGTTGCTAGCAAATAATTTTCTTTCTTTTTCTTTTCTTTTCTTTCTTTCTTTCTTTCTTTCTTTCTTTCTTTCTTTCTTTCTTTCTTTCTTTCTTTCTTTCTTTCTTTCTTTCTTTTTTACAATGGGTATGCCTACATTTTATTCTTTTGCCTAATTTTAAATTGCAGGGGGATTAGCATCCTTGCCTTCTTATTAACCTTAGTAGAAATGACTAGTAGGATATCTGTGCCTGGTGCATTTGTGTATGGTAGTTTCTTGATAACTTTCTCAACTTCTTTCACAGAAAATGGTCTGTTTAAGTATTCTTTTTCTATGGGTGTTGATTTTGGAAAATTATATTTTTCTAAGAGATTAAGCCATAAATAGGTTTTTCAAATTTGTTTTTATTGAAAGATGCAAACAAATCTCATATCTTAAATATATATATTCTCTGTATCAATAGTTACATCCCTTGTCTTTCTTTTTTATTCCCCATTATGTAATTTTTGTTTTGTATGTTTGTATTTTATTTCTTTTTTTTCTTATTAGATTAGTGATTTACTGATTTTGCTGAGTTTTTTGAAAAACAGAATTTTAATTTATTAATTTGGGCTTATATATTATATATATATATGGGATTTTGGGGGCACTCTACCAAATTAATTTCTATTTTTATCTTTATTATTTCCATACTGCTGATGTATTTTGTTGTTATTTTTAGGTTTTTTTATTTAGAATTTACATAGTTTTCATTCATTTATCTCATTGGTTTAGATGTCTATACCTATGAATTTTTCTCTGATCTCTACTTTTAAAATATCCCGTAGGTCCTGAGACATAGCAATTGCACCATTTTATTTTTCAAAAATTCTATAATTTCTATTTTTATTTACCCTTTCACTGAAAATTTACTTACTGGAACATTTTATAATTTATGTGTAGAAAGATCTTTTTATTTGCAGTTTTCTTTAATTTCAAGTTCCATTGCCTCATGATCAGTAATATTTCTATTTTATGGAATCTATTGATGTATTTTTGTGCCCAAATATATGATTAGTTTTGGAGAACATGTCACATGTGTTAAGAAAAACATATAGTCTCTGTTATCAGTTTGATTTGTATCCATAAATATGATTATTTAGATCTTTTGTATTCTTACTTATTTTTTAAAATTCCACTTAACTTTTTTGCACTGAATAATTTGTTAAAATATCCTGTTAATAGTGTTCTATTTTGCATCTTCTGTAGTTTCTGCTTTTTAATTTGGTGCATAGATATCCAAAACTGTTGTGCTTTTAGTATGAATTGCAGCTTTTAGCAGTACAAAGTGTTCTCCTCTATCTTGTCTGATTCCTTTTGGGCTTGATCCTACTTTTCCTGGTATCAGAAGGATTGCAACCTCTGCTTTCTTATTATTTTCATTTATCTGCCCCTTAATTTAAGCTTTGAAACATTGTGCTTCAATGACTTTTTGTATAAAGCATAGCATTGGATTTTATTTTTGTTTAGAATTTTTTTTTCTTTTAAAGGAAAATTAAGTCCCTTCACTTATATTGATATGATTTATATGTTAGGCCCCAACTCGATCCTCAATCATATTATTTGCTTGTAATTATGGTGTTTTAAAGTTACTTTTTTTTTTTTAGCTATTTTGGGTTTTTCACTTTGCTATAGATGTTTTTAAATTTCTTTTAGTATTTTTATTAGGTTGAATTTTTATTTTAGTGATTATCTTTGTATTTAAATCTTCCATAACAAGTTACTCTCACTTTTTCTTCCTTAACATTTACATCTAGCCAGTCATTTTTCAGTAGTCTTCTTTAATTCCTACGTGTTATCTACATAGGAGTCAATAATCTTATTCTCATTTCTACTTTTTTCTCTCATTTTAAAGCTGCATCATTATTTCTTTGTCAAAACATATAATGATGTTTATATTCTGTTTTCTCTTCATATTTATAAAATTTTACCAGTTTCCTCAGTTATCTTTTGGTTACCTAAAGCTTATTTTCTGCTAGATTCCTCAGGAGGTCACACAGTTATAGAATTTCCTAAAATTTTGATATTCAAAATTGTTTTTTTAAAACCTTGATATATGAATATTAAATCTTTGATTCATACTTCAAGTTTCTTAAAAATACTGCTCTACTATTGATTGCTTTAAATATTACGTTTAAGAATTCTGACATCAGTCTAATTCATTTTGCATCATAGTTATTTCATCTTTATGTCTAAAAGCCTTGAAGGTTTTTCCTCCTTTATACTTCAAAGCTAATAGTTTTAGCAAGATACCTCAGAATTTATTTGTCAGGAGAACGGAAGTTCAGGTATTCAGTGGACCCACGCAATATGTAAACTCAGACCTTCTTTTATTTCTAGAAATTTCTTCCAAATTATATGAATATTAATCTTTCCATTTTTTTCTTTGTTAGAAAAGCTCTATACATGCATTGTATCTTTTTTGTCTGTTTTCCAATTCAAACACTTTGCTTGTGACCTGTTTTAATTCAGTCTTGCTCACATTTTTATTTACTTTTTTGGGTTTTTTCTATGCTGCTTGTAAAGTTTTCTTTCAACTATTTTCTCTTGAGGTCCTTATACTTGAGAGTTCATTTCTGATATAACTTTGTCTATTTTTTCTGAGTTTTATAAATTCCCATTTTATTTCTTCTTGGTTTTTGTCCACTTCTACTTTGTCTTTATTAAATTTCTGACTCATAATGCTTTTTAAATACCCCAAATGCATGTTGAGAGTATTTCATGTATATGGAAGTGTTTTGGTATGGCTTTTCTCTATTTATTTATTAGTTAATAAGTTAGTTACTTTAGCAGAGAAATTTCATCAGCTAAAATATTTTGATTTGCATTTTCTGTTTTCTCTTATGGCAGCTTTGTACGAAGTTGATTTTTTCTAGTTTTTGCTATTTTGTGGACAGAGTTATCATAAGTGAAGAGTGCCTCTTATTTAGTGAATAAGTTCACTAAATTATTTTAGGAAAATATAATTTACTTAATAAAAAATGTTGGTACTAAAAATGGCAGTGTAGGGATTAGTATGTTTTATTACTCTTATGTTTCAGCAGTGCTCTTAATTTTACCCTGTAACATTCTTCCCTGCTTTAAGTGCCCTGTCTCCTAGGGTCAGCACACCTCTTCTATTGATCTGACCATTTCTCATTAGCCATGCTTTGTTTGAAGCTGTTACTTCCAGGCCTACTTATTTCAAGCACTTTTCCTGTAGCCTGTCCTGGAAACTATTGTGTTTAAGGACTATGGTTCATATTTTGACACTTAATGTTGAACTTTCTTTTATCTGGAATTGATTGGGTGTGTATTTCTTTTAATTTCTCCATGCCATTCTTATCTTTGTCATGTAGCCTCTTCAGCCTTCCTTCTACAGTTTTACACACCTTGGATTTTCAGCAGCAGAAGGAGCTACTTTGGAATTTGGTGTTTATTTCTCTACAAGTAATTTGAAAGTCATGGTATTCTCTGTATCTTAGCAATGTTAAAGTTATGAGTCATGTATATAATTACTTGTTCTTTTTATTGATTTTATATTTTCTTTGGAAGGTTATGTGAGAAGATTTAGAATCAGACAGCTAACATTCTCCAGCCCTGGGAGTTCAAACATTATAATTTCAATAAATTATCTATATACTAGGCCTTGAACTAATCAATAGATCTTAAGTATCTCTTAATTACATGCTCTTGTAAATCCTGTGCCAAAGATAAAAAATTCTGTGAACATGACATTGATTGCCTAAAGCAAAATTGATTTCCTCTTTAGAAATAAATTGACACAAAAATATTGGATTAAATATTATGGTCATGCATTTAAGGAAAAGAGCAAAAATAAATGGGTATGACAGAAAAATTTGCTAATTTTGTAATAGTAAAAGGAGTGCTTAAAATCATTGGGAATCGTGATTTTTCTTATAGGTGTACAACCTGCTTCCAAATATAGAACTCCATGGTTATTTCTATGATGGTCTCGATCTTGATGATGGCAAGGCAGACCCTTGCATTCCTGAGAAGGAAATGTTTTACAATGGTTTGTATTGTATACCTACAAACAACTATAGAGATGGAGACATCTATAATATTGTTAGAGTAAGTTCACTAAAGATTTTGTAAAATATTTTGTCTTAATTTAAATTTTAGTATTTATAATGCAAATAATACATATCAATGTTTTATTAGTTATGTAGTTCTCTTCCTGTATCTTGAGAGTATTACCTCTAATCTGCTGAGTCCACAGAAATTGTCTTATAAAAAAAGAGATATTAATTTTTGTTGATATTCTCTGTTTTCTTGAAAATAAATTATGTGGCTGAAATGATAAAACCTCTCATTAGAAGCAATGAGATAGTCTCCAGTTTATTGCAATAAATCTTACCAGAAATAGTCAAATCAAAAGCTAAAATGGAGTCTGGATTCCATATATGTGGAAGCTATCAATTGGATGTGCTGAGGCTTCCATAAAAGGATTGTATAATTAAAGTCACAGGTGTATGAAATAAGGGGCAGTGAATCAGACAGACATTAGTTCAAGTCCCAGCTAAATTGTGCTGGGATTTACTGAGTGTGCATTGAATGTGTGTGTGTGTGCACGTATGTGTATTTGATGTTAATTAGGATAATTACAGTGCCAATCTCATAAGTATTTTTCTCTTTGAATTAAATAAAAAATGATGTAAAATACTTACCAAAAAGCTAGCACATAATAGGTGCTAGATAAATCATAGTGATTATAATTTCCCCTTTAAATTAGAGATTTTTTGTAAGTCAAGTAGAAGTGACTTGACCCCTAAGATCTCAGCTCTTGCTAGCACAGAAAAAAATGTATCTTTATGATCTATTTACCATTACAATATAAATAATGCCCCTTTTATAGTTCTTGCATGTCAGGAATGCACAACATTTTTTGTTGTTTGTTTCTTTGAAGGATATGGGTCTGAAAGTCTTTACCAATCTCCATTACCGCAAACCAGAAATATGTTCAATGAGAGGAAGTCTGCCATTCTCTGGGCCATTACCTTTAAGAAATTATGCACTGAAGCATAGCTTCCCTTCTATAATTGCAGGTGGGTAATCTAGAATTTTGTGTCAGAGGGATGCCAAAATGATTGGTCGAATTGGGTGTATTTGGGATAAAACTATACAAAATTGGGATTTTATATGTGAATATTGTCATGGTTTTGGCTGCAACTAGCCATCCTAGGGGTGGATAAAGCAGAAGACAGGCTGGAAATGTTTTAAGCTGTAAAGAAGAATTAGCTTCGGATAGGAGAGGAAGTTTGTTTTTGCTGGTAAAACACAAATCAGAAGTACAGTCATGCCTCACTTAGTGACAGGAATACTTTCTGAGAGTATGTGTCATTAGGTGACTTCATCACTGTGTGAACATTGTAGGGTGTACTCACACAAACCTAGGTGGTATGGCTACTACACACCTAGGCTGTGAACGGTTCAGCATGTTAGTGTGCTAAATACTGTAGGCAGTTGTAACCCAATGCTAAGTATTTGTGTGTCTAAACTTAGAAGATATACAGTAAAAATATGGTATAAAAGATAAAAAATGGTAGACCTATATAGGCCACTTATCATGAATTGAGGTTGCAGAACTAGAAGTTTCCTTGGGTCAGTCAGTGAGTGAGGGGTGAGGGAAGTTGAAGGCCTAGGACTTTATTGTACGCTGCTGTCGACTTCATAAACACTGTACAGTTAGGCTACACTAAATTTATAAAACTTTTTTCTTCCTTAAATAATAAATTAACCTTACCTTACTATAACATTTTTGCTTTGTAAATTATTAAGTTTTAAATTTTTTTTGATTTTTTTTCTAATAACACTTAGCTTAGAACGCAAACACATGGTACAGCTGTACAAATATATTCTTTCTTTATATTCTTATTCCATAAGCTTTTTCCTATTTTTGAATTTTTTTTAACTTTTTAAACTTCTTTGTTAAAAACTAAGACCCAAACACACACATTACCCTTGCCCTATGCAGTGTCAGGATCGTCAATGTCACCATCTTCCACGTCTGCATCTGGTCCCGCTGGAAGGTCTTCAGGGGCAGTAACCTCTAATCTTAACGCCTCTTCTGGAATACCCAGGAAGGATCTGCCTGAGGTCGTTTTGCAATTAACTTTTTAAAATATAAGTAGAAGGAGTACACTCTAAAATAATGATAAAAAGTATAGCATAATAAATACTTAAACCAGTAACATAGTCATTTATTCAGTATTATGTACAATACATAATTGTGTGTGCTATGCTTTTATACAACTGGCAGTACAGTAGGTTTGTTTATCCCAGCCTCACCACAAAGACATGACTAATGAGTTGCGCTATGACAGCTTCAATGTTGCTAGATGATAACATTTTTCAGCTCCGTTATAATCTTAAGGGACCGCCATCATATAAGGGGCCCATCATTCACCAAAACATCATTATAGTGATACAAAGCTGTTATGACAGGACCATAATCAAAGCCATATTTCAGATGCATCTGAGAATGCTTAAATAACATTTCTTACCTCCCTCTGGCCTCACACTGAGATTAATCCAGTGATTTAAGGGGGGGGGGGGCGCTGATCCTGGAAATGGGTGTCAGAAATTCTACTTTAGAAAAATGAAAGGCCTGACAACTTCATAAAAAGGTAGACTCAGTGAGTATTCCAGAGGCCCTATAAAGTTCAGAAGTGGAAACCACTTTGAAGCCCTGGTCAAGAGGTTGAAGCTACCTGATTTTTCTACTACTAGATTAAACCTTATTTAGTGAGCTTTATCAGAAACATCTAAACTTTTCTTGTATCCCTGAATAAAATGTACTGAAACCAAAGTCATTTATTTTAATCTTTTCTCTCGTCAATCATTATATATAAATTCACTTAGCAAACATTTATTAAAGCTAGGAACTGAGTTGCATGGTGTAAATGCAGTGACTCCATCCCTGCTTTCCTAGAACATTTAGTCTAAGAGAGAACCATTGAAATAAAACAGGTAATTCCCAAAACCTGAGAAGAGTGCATTAAATGGAAAAAATATATATATGACTAGAAGAGACCTAATAAACCCTCAAGGGCGTGTTATGTACTCCTTGAGGAAGTAGCATTTACACTGGGACCTGCAGGATGAATGATAACACACCACAAAAAGTTAGGACGTTCCAAGCAGAGAGGGAGGCACTGTGAAAGACAACGTAAGGGACTACAAGCACTTCGGCATGGCAGAAGGTGTGGCTCAAGGCAGGGGGAAGCTATAGCAAGAGGGTAGACTAACATCATGAAAACTTTGTAGGGCATTGAAAGAGTTGGAAACCCACCCTAACGCAATAATATACTATTGACAAGCTTTAAGCAAAAACTCTAATATATGTTTTTTTTTAAAAAAATATCTCTGGCTGCTCTGTGAAAAAAATGATTTGAGATTTGGGCTGTTTAAGAGTATATGAAATGGTACACATGTTAGAAATTCAGGTGAGAGACAGTGGTGGCTTGAACTACTATAAAAAAGTAGTGGAAGCAGAGAAACAGGGATAGATTTGTGAGCTATTTTCAAGTTATAATAGACAATATTTGTTAGAAGGTTGGTAAGTTATGGGAGATGCAGGATGGGGAGGGGCCAAAGACAATTCTTAAGTTTCTGATGAGGGTAAGTGGGTCAATTTTGGTACCCCTCCTGGAGATGGGAAATACTGCAGAGAGGCAAGGGAGGATGTAATGAGTTTAGTGTTGGAGCAGTTACAGTTGAAATGCCTGTTAAGCATCCACAAGAAATGTGCCCAAGGCTATTGCATGCACGAGTCTGGAGCTAAGGAGAGAGGTCTAGTTGAGGGAGCTTCCGTATAATTGTTACAATGGAAGGCACATGTGAGGATATCCACGTGGAGACAGTGCATAGGAAGAAGAAGATCTAAAACAGAGCTCTTAGGAACAAGTCAAGGATGAGGGTTTATTTACATAGGAGACTTGAGAATGGCGAAAATAAGAAAACTGGAAGGGCATGGTGTTATGAAGTTAACAATAGTGACTGTTTTGAAAAGGACACAGTGATTAAGAGTGTTAAATGCAGCCTAGAGGACAAGCAAAAGGAAGTGTTCTTGAGAATTAGCAATATTAATGGCACTAGCAACATTAACGAAAGTAATGTTAGGTGGTGGAATTGGCAGGCATTAGCATGTCAAATGAGAAACTTGATTCAGTGGATAGACATTACTTTTTCTAAATTTGTCTGTGGGAGAACAATCTGGAGGCTATATGTTATTTTTGTTTGTTTGTTGTTGCTTTTAAAAATGGGAGGGATGTCAGCATCAAAATGCTGATGCTTAGGTTGAAATTTCCATTTTTTGGCAACGAGCCCCAGAAGCGAATTTCTATGCTGCTTCACACTAAAGCACACTAAGCACGTGTACTTAAATCTTGCAGGTGTGCATTATTGAAACATGTGTTTTTATTCTCTCTATACAATGCATTTCTCTTTTCTTTTAGCCGGTGAATCCATGGAGATCAGTGACTATGTAGAGCAGGCTGTAATAGAAACAGTAAGAAAAAACTTCCCAGAGACATGGATATGGGATCTCGTCAGTGTCGAGTGAGTTTTGAACAGCTTTCTCTCCTATGTGTCTTCATTTCTATTTTCTTTTCCTTTTGATTTCTTGAATTTTAATCCGGGGCATATAAAACTACTGCATTTGTAAAATATATACCATTTATTTGCATGTATTGACTCCACATTTGACTTTTTTTCTCTAGCATTGTTTTCCCTTCACTAAGAGTTTCTCTTTCATTAATTTCATACAGATAGACATAAGCTGCCTCAATTTTTTTTTTAAATAATGTGGTGTTTAAAGAAATGTGACCTTTCTAAGGTTAAATTTTATAGAAATCCACTTTCAAGATTTTTATCTAGGCCGGGCACGGTGGCTCACGCCTGTAATCGTAGCACTTCTGGAAGGCCGAGGTGGGTGGATTGCTTGAGGTCAGGAGTTCAAAACCAGCCTGAGCAAGAGCGAGACCTCGTCTCTACTATAAATAGAAAGAAATTAATTGGCCAACTAATATATAAAGAAAAAATTAGCCGGGCATGGTGGCGCATGCCTGTAGTCCCAGCTACTCGGGAGGCTGAGGCAGGAGGATCGCTTGAGCCCAGGAGTTTGAGGTTGCTGTGAGCTAGGCTGACGCCACGGCACTCACTCTAGCCTGGGCAACAAAGTGAGACTCTGTCTCAGAAAAAAACAGATTTTTATCTAATGTCCTGATAATACACTCTGACCCTTTTTTTAACCTTCAATTAATACTTTTCGTTTTGCTTGCTCCAAACTAAATTTAGATTTTTTGTTTAGACAAAGCACATGTTTTACCAATAACCTCTCCTTGTAGTTCCTCAGGTTCAGCGAATCTTCCATTCCTCGTTCCTGATACTATCACCCAATGGAAGGCAAATGGCTTCTGTGTGAATGGCGAGGCTGGATTTGGCGTTTCATCAACAGCCACTCTGGAAGTCTCCCAGTCTTTCTTTGTTGACATTGCCTCCCCCTTTTCCGTTGTTCGAAATGAACAATTTGATTTGATTGTCAGTGTCTTCAGCTACCTGGATACATGTGTAGAGGTGAGTCGTTCCCTTTGATTTGAAGCAAAAATCTAACAAAGCTAAAAGATTCTTTAATATTTTCCTTGAATGTTGCCATATTTCCTTTATCTCAAATGTACAATGATACTTTCGAGGGATGAGGCTTGTTTCCATATTTCACAAACAAAAAAAACTGCGTTAATTCACAGCAATGATTTAAATACCGTTTTGATAATGGCATTTCATGATTATGTGCATTCCAGTGCCACCTTCATTGCCATGTTTTATTTTATTTTTTTAGATTTCTGTTCAGTTGGAGGCATCTGAGAATTATGAGGCAAATCTCAACACCCTGAAAAACAATGGCAGTGAGATTATCCAAGCTGGAGAGAAGAAAACATATGTCTGGACTGTTAAACCTAAGAAGTTGGGTAAGAAGCTAAATGTCTCTGTGAATCTCTCATGGAAAACCAGCTCATTTTTATTGTCTCTATTTATTTTCCTTACATTTTCTATTCAAACCTAATTTTCTCCCTTATATTTTTAATTCTCTTTTTTATTTATTCTCCATTAATAATTCTAATTTCTGATGTCTGGTTGCTAATGCAGTGTAGAGCAAAACCATCATTCACTTGTACAAAAGCATAATGTGAATAAAGTACAATATAAATGCTAACTTGCATGGCCTACCCAGTTCTATATGTTCGGATATATCCTGTCCCAAATGAAGGCCATATTGTCATCAATGCTGCCTTAATTCTTTTACTTCTTACATGTTCCTTCACCTGCCATCATGGATCCATGCCATCTATACAAAAAAAATGGTTGTTAATCACAGTGATCAATTATGAGAATCGCTAGGATTTGTAAATTCACTAAATATATCCTGGAACACCAAAAACACTGAACACTTAGATGGGGATCAAATGCTGAGAATATTGTCTTCATATATATGTTATCTATAATATAGAAAAATAAATTTGTATCTTATTAAGAATATAGGTGAAGGAAAAAGTTAAAAAGTCTAGTAAATGAAGAATGTTGGATGTGATGTCCATATTTATTATCTCTTCCTTCAAGAATTGTGCCATTAAAATTTTCTGTATTTCATGGCCCATATTCACTGTATTATTTTAGCAGCAAAGAGTATATTTATGTGATCATTTTAGTTCACCAGTGATGTTGGTCTGCCTCAGATTATGTTTTCTATTAGATTGTAAGCTTCTTGATTTTTCTACTGCACAAAGCCTTCAAAAATCTTACCTTAGCAATTGAGATAGAATACTGTACAAAATTGTATGGCTTTATGGCATTAACTGGAGGACACAATTCTAAGAGTAGAGTATCAAAGACTTTCCGAAAGAAAGAAACAGCATAAAACACACCAGCAACAAACGAAAACCAAGAATAGTACATTGGTTATGTATATTGGCATATAGGAATATAGGTAATATTAAACCTAAAAATGTTTTTTCAATTTTTCCACACAAGGAAATTGGAGATAGGTTTTAATTATATAATGTGGTATCAGTGAGTTTAAAAACAATGGATTTCTTACTAGCATTTGATTTCAATCCAGTACCCTTTCTACTGGGTAAATATTTTATTATTTTTGTTTGTTTGATCTTAGGAAGAGTTAAAAGTTCCAGTTATCTGATATTATGTGCTTCTATTTTCATATGTAATCTTTATAAACAACCGATGTTAAGGAATTGGATCAGATGGCTTTGTAGAATGCATTTTTCCTAAAATTTCTCAACTTCTAACTAAGTAAATTAATTGCTTACCTTGAAACTGGTAAAACAGAATTATAACCAGGGAGGAGAAGAAGCAAGTTATTTTGGTTTAAGTATTAATATGATGATAGAATTTGGTTCATCAATTCAAGACATGATTCATAGGCACTAGTCATGTCCCATTACAAAAGGGACCAATAGTCAATTTAACTTGTATTTGGGGATGTTTTCCAGGTGAAGTGACTATCACTGCAGTTGCTGAGTCCAGACAAAGTCGTGCTTGCCCACATGAAGCAAATGAGAAGCAAAATCTAAACTGGAAAGACACCGTGGTCAGGAGCTTATTGGTAGAGGTGTGTACTTGCAAAACTATTAAGCTTTTCCTGATAAGAAATAGACAATACCTAAGGGGTGAAATATTAAAGGACATTCTCCTTGAAGAGAATTAATTGACCACAGTTACTTTTGACACAAGACGTAACATTTTAAATGAATTTAAACAGCATAAAGTTCATCCTTTCTTTAATTAATACCTCACCCAGGAGATTAAAACGTAGCACTTGAAACAGTCTTGACAATGTTTTGTTTGCTCCTGACTCATGATGTTTCCTGTACCACCTATTTCTCTTCCTTCTCTTTAAACAAACTGATTCTCAAATACAAGAGACAAACATCCTTGTCCTACACTCCTATGCAGTTCCCATCACCCTCAAGAAGAATCAATGCTTATCAGAGGAGCATTCTTATCTGATCTCTGGGCTTATCCCTGTTCTACAAAACACTTTTATTCGTCTACTGGAGATTCTGGGTGGGATCAGAGTCGTCGAGAGTGTCCCACAATGACCCTGTCTAGCATAGACCCCACAATGACCACAATGTCCCTGTCCAGCCTATGGGAACACAGAGCCTAAAATGAGTGTTGGTGACTTGTAGATATGGACAGGAGGAGGCCATAAATGGGTCTTTTTCAGGGACAAATTTGTGCTAGCCGTGCTTATATGAGCTGATGCTCGATTGCATCCTCTTAATGGAAAAATGACCCAGACTCATAATTTTATGCGTGTTTTTGTTTAATCTTCCATAGCCTGAAGGTATTGAGAGAGAAACTACCCAGAGTTACCTTATCTGTACAAAAGGTAAGAAAATCTTTTAGGTGCTCAAATTAGTCCTAAAGAAAATCCATCAGCAGGGTTAATTTATTTCCTCTCCTTCCACATTAGTCCACTTGTCATGTGATTTCATTTTAAATACTTCATGCAGGATTACTTTATTTCATGCTTTATCTTCATTGCATAATTTTAGCCATCAAAAAGTATATTTGTAAAATGTTTTTAGTTCACCTGTGACATTGGTGAACTAACCTGTTTTTCTTTTTCCCATCTTATGCATATGCAACAACTCTTACCATTTGGCTGTCACTCAGTGTTGGACAACGGGAAATCTTTATGCCAAAATAGCACATCATATAATCTTTGCTTTTATACTCTTAGGATGAAATAATCTGTAGATACATCACTGCCCCTCAATCTCCTGTTTTATGGCCATTAAGGGTTTTATTTTAACTGATTGATAGTGATCTGGTTTTAATGCCAAATCAGACTCTTCAAGCTTTACCTTTTGTGTGTGGTGTATTATTTGTCATAGTTAGTAATTTTGAATATTTTTCCATACGTAAGTTGGCAGGCACTAACTAGTGGAGAATGGGGCCCACTATCTGACACACAGATTTATATATCATCTTCTGAATGCTCTGTTATTCTAAACTACATCAACCCCTCAATTTCATTTCCTTGGAAAATGCAACTTGTAATATAAAAATAGACAATGGAATCTGAGTTTTAATATGTTTGTCTCCCCACATCTGCTGGCTTTCTTTTTAATCTGTATTTTCTTTTCAGGTACCAAAGCCTCCAAGCAGGTAGTTTTGGGCTTGCCAAATGATGTTGTAGAAGGATCCATCAGAAGCTTTTTCACTGTTGTGGGTAAGTTGATTAAATTTTGTGTTTCACAATGATTTGAAAATCTTGAGGTTGTCTCAAAAAAATTCTTAAAATAAAGGGTAGAGAGATTTTCTTAAGCTATGAATTAGAAGGAATCATTGTTCAGATCATCCTTTATGCTTGTTTCCCTATGAAATCTGAAGAGATTACAGTATTCTTTCTAAAACCATGTTTCTAGGAAGCACTAGTTCTGGTAGATGAAAACTGGTGTTCAGAAAACCAAAAAAGTTCTATTATAACACATTAATCTGAACTCTTAAATTCACCTCTTAGAAAACCGGAAAAAACTTGCCTGTTAAAGATACTGGGAATTTCCTCAGTATAAGGAGGAATCTATTTTTAAAAAGTAAATTTATTTGCTTATTATTAACATTAATATATTTTGGGGAGGGATGGATCACAATTTATAGTTCCTAAGGTCAATTTCTCAAAAAACGAGTAAGCAAACAAGCAAGCAAATACACCTTCCTAACTTCCCTTTCTCTCTGGTAATGAAGTTTTCAGAAATATTTTCCATACCAGAAACCCCTTTAACTTCAACTATACATGGCTATCTCCATTATTATTTAGAATTATTACTTCATGAAACTTTCTTTGTCTCCATCGTTTAGACTCAATTTTAAATGTTGCCTACTGCCACTGTGTCTCTTTTATCTATGGTTATTAATGCTGCGATTGTAACTATACACAATACGACTCTCTTATTTTCTGTTCTTAGGAGATATTCTAGGACTTGCAGTGCAGAATCTGGAAGATCCTCTCCAAATATCCTACAGAAATGCAGAGCAGAATGTTGCCCTACTCGCATCCAATACCTACATCCTCGACTACCTACAGTCTACTGAGCAGCTGACAGAGGAACTTAAATCTCAGGCATTCTCTCTCTTATCTAAAGGTAAGAAGATTTAAGTAATTTCTGCTCATAATAGTTGAAATCAATTGTCACTCATACCATGATGCCACAAAACTACTTTTATGAGGAACTCTGGTTGGGGAAAACTGGACCTAAACTGAGGAACTCTGAGTCCTACCTATGTTTTCTTTCTTTTTGACTTCAAAATCTGTGTGGTCAGTCAGCTTCATAATTTGGAACTGTAAAGTTTTCAAATTATGAATTCAGTTATTTTCTTTTAACACCTGGTATTTTGCCAAGTCACCTTGCTGTTTGTTGATGTTCTTAACAGTAGCTGTAAATGGTTCATTTATCAACTTTTGCATTTGTTTGCTCAGTTGTGTTTCATTGCAGGAAAGGAATTGAATTTGTGTGTAGAAAGAGGGTGGATAAATAGTATAAAATGTGATGATAAGGAAAAGCCCAGTGGTTTTCTTTTCATGAAGATAGCACTGAAGTAAAATAACTGTAGGGGAAAGATACTAAATAATCAGTAAGCACCGAGGATGAGCTAGTTACCGAGCTAGGCATGTTCAGATGTACTATCTTATTTGTCACCAAAACCTTATAAGGTGGGAGTTACTTTTGCTCCCTATGGATAGAGAAACTCAGTTTCAGAAATTCAAATTGAAATAATCATCTTAGTAATTTTCATCTAACACCAGAATCCAGGACTTGTACTACACCATTCTTTTTCTTCTAACTTTCTTAGAGTAAAAAATTTTCTGCAATGTTGTATTTTAGGTTATCAAAACCAGTTGTCTTTCAAAAACTCTGATGGTTCATATGATATGTTTTGGGCAACGAATCGGGAAGGAAGCATACGGTAAGAGATAAAAAAAAATTATTTTAAATAATATAGCAATTATCTAAGAAAAGCTTGCAAAGAGGTGAGGGGATGAGTTCAGTAAGGATTTGGAAACAAAGAGAGTTTCAAAGTGAATTTACAGAGGAGAATCACAAAATTAAAAGATTTGATTATTCTAATGCAACGATGTACTTACCATCTCATGGCAATTTGCTTAGCAGTCTGACCATTTAGTGATAGACCCCAAAACTTACACAGCTAGTTAATTCCATGGAAAATGCCACCTCTTCCTCTGCACTTAGGAGAGTCCCATATAGACTCAGGAAAGTGAGTTAGAAAGCCCCAAAGCATTCTGTCTCCATGTATGGGTAATCTAATAGACTATACTGTAAGACCTTTGTGTATAAACATGCTTAAAATTACTCTAATTTTCACTTATTGCTATTCATAATAGTTTACTTACCCAAAGGAAACAGCTACAGCTGAGAAAGACTGGTTGCAGCCAACATTGGATAAGCTGAATGCATCCATTACCCGGAGGGAGCAGTGGTGATGAACCCGTGGAATAGCAGACATCATCATTTCTTTTTTGTCTCACTTTTACTCTGGTGATTTGCATTATAGGCTCAGTGCCCTTACTTTTAAGACATTGGAGAGGATGAAAAAATATGTATTCGTTGATGAAAATGTTCAAAAACAGACCTTAATCTGGCTTTTAAGCAAACAGAAAAGTAACGGCTGCTTTGAAAATGATGGCAAGTTCTTCAGCAACACCTGGGAGGTGAGAAGCTAACAGAACTGGGCTTTCCTTGCTCTTTTTCATTGCCTACCTTCCCCTACCTTATCTGGACCGTGACTATTCTTCCTTATTCTTCTCCTGTGAATGTTATGCCGTCGGAATCCGCTGTGGTCATAGGGAGTGGTGGATCGGTGAGCAGCGTCATTCCTGCTATCTGTGTGTTTAACCACGGCCTATGTCTGATTCCTTATCAATCTTTTGATCGCCTTACTTGGTCTTTAGTCCTTCCCTGGAGTCCATCCTTCTCTGTAAATAAACTGCAAAGAGGAAAGAAGGGAGAGAAAGGGAAGCTAGAGAGGAAACATTCATAAATTTGGAGCCAGGCAATATATTAAGGGAGGGAGCCTTGACTATCTGAGGAATGTGAATTCATTCCTATTCACAGATAGCAGGAAAGATCTAGTAAGAGTATCTAGTAATTTGCACTGTTTTAATGCAACAAATTTTTCCAGTACCCTCTCAAGGAAAAGCACAAAGGCTTAGTTTGCCCTAGGCCGAAATACAAAGTAAAGTATGTCCTTGGCAGAATAAACCCCTTTGCTTTTCCTGTCCATGTTTTAAGTAAATCACCAGGATTCTCCCTTTTTTCTGACTTCCATCCTTAGCAGGGAGCTGCCCCATACACCCCCATCTTCTGTTTCCTTTATTCTCCTAACTTGTTTCCTCTGGATGCTCAAAATCCCCTATCATGATATTTTATTGTGTCCTGATAGCCCCTGAAATATCCTGAGCTTTCCTTCTGTGTCCTTCTTCATGATCGCCACTCCTGTTCTTGAATTACAGAATGTAAGTCTAATCTACCTCAAAATACAGGTGAATGGCAACACCTTATGGCATTTCGTTTTAATACAGATTGTTTTCTTATTTCTTTACTCATGTAGTTGGCGGGAGGGATGTGGCTTTACATTTTTCCAAACCTATTTCTCACAAGAAGGTCCCTCATGGAGAAGAACTCTTGTTCCTATGTAGAAAAATCAACACCTTTTTCTTGTTCTCTTCTAAAGCATTTTCTCCACATCTTTCTTCTTATTGGATTCGTTACTGGTCACTGCTTCAGTTTTTTTTTTTGTTTGTTTGTTTTTTTGTTTTTTTACCTTACCCAATATTTTCTCTGTAATTAAATGTGTGTGTGTGGTGGGGGTTGGGGGGTTGGGAGGTAGAAAGAAGGAGAAAAATAACAACAAAAACTTACATTCAGAGGAATGGTGATACTACATTCTGTAATTTAAATGTGTTGTAGGTCCCCAAATCCTATTTTAGTGCCTACTATGTAAGTTATCGACTTGAAAACTTACCTCCTCAGAAACATTTCTTTTCCGAAGACAAGAGAGGTTGCCATTTGCTGATAGAGGTTTATACTAGATGAGTATAACCCAAATGCAGCACAAATGCTATTTGTATCAGAATCCCTAGAGCACCCATTAAAATTCATTTTCCTGTCCTGTTTCTGAGTTTTTGAATCAGAATCTCTTGTGCGGATGCTGGTTTATTTAATGTTTCAGTTCCCCAGGGGATTTTTATACACAGTTTGCAAATCACATGATTTTAAAATGTTTTTTCTAATTTTATGCTGCAAGAATCTGAAACCTGACTATTATAAGGTACTTTTCCAGGGATTTTCAGAAAGCTTTACAACAAATTTCTGTTATGCCTCATTAGAAATTCTTTGTTGGCGTTTTTCGAATTAACATCGAATAGAGCTGATAGAGTTGTGAATTACTTAGAAGGCATGCTTAACACCAGGCCATTTAAATATGGTTATATACATCATTTAGTATACTTGAAATTAACTGTGTTATTTTTATTTAATGATTACATAAAGCAGAAGGGATTCTTTCTCAGATAGTATGGCTATTAACCACCTAATTTAAAAATTACACATGTTCAGGTGTTTTTTTAAATGAATAATGGCACTTGTTCCCAGTGTTTCTTTCATAACTAATTTCACTTCAGAAGATTATCTGTTCTTTTGCGCTCTGCTATCCTATATGACTCTTTGTTTCTTTGTTTTTAGGGTGAAGATGAAAAGGACATTTTCCTCACTGCATTTATTGTTGGATCCCTCTTTGAAGCTGGGCTCAATTTCACTGTATGGATTCCCATCCTCCTCTAATTTCAGTCAGATGAATGCACATGAAATAGACTCTAAATTCAGAGTGAACTAAAATTCTAAGACTGGATGCAACATAAATAGAACATTTCATTCAGTATCACCCTTTAAAATGATTTTGTTCAAACCTTTTAGATTGATAAGACACCTTTGATGAACACTGGTTTTTACCCAAGGAGAATACACACATGCACACATACACAAGTTATTCATACAATTTCAGGTATTTCAATACTCCTGAATTTTAGCCATGAATTTCAAATTAAGAACCCTTGTTCTATATAAAGCCATAACCTAGGATTCTCCTCTCTAAACAATCTGAGTAAACACTTTCAATTTAAGAGTGGCTCATCCCAGCTATCTCTCAATCCATAGGTTAGATTATCTGATTCTAAAGTGTTATTCCTAAACTAAGATACTAGGAATTTTCAGGGTCATTATTATATTTTGCAAATCATCTTCAGAAATGTAAGTCTCTATTTTTAGGAATTAGAGTAAAATATTATAGATCTAAAAATAAATTTGTATGCTTTGCCACATAGAAGAAATTTATAGCTAAAATATTACTCATTAGATACAAAAACTCCCATTTTCTTACTACTTAAATCTTATTTCTCACTGATGATGACATGACAAATTTGTTTTAATGATATATTTGAAAAATAATACATACATATATACATTAATAGGTTCATATATAAAATATGCTTCAAGGATATAAACATTATAAACAATAATTAGTTTAAGTGTTAATATTCAGCAAGCTGATAAAATGTTCAGGTATCATTTAAAAATATATTATTGTTCTTTCTGACTAGTTTTCTGCTCTACAAAACGGGCTCTTTTGCCTAGAGGAGGCAGTGGAAAACGGTGTCGCTAATGGTTATAATCATGCAATTCTAGCTTATGTTTTTACATTAGCTGGAAAAGAGGAGCAAGCGGAATCCTTACTCCAGGTGCTGGATCAATCTGCCACAAAAATCAGTAAGTGTTATCATTCATTTTTGCTAATGGACATGATCTTGAAAACAGTGATGAGATTTGCTAAGCAATCATATAGAACTGTCTCTTCACCAGGATGTTTCTGTTTCTGTTTCTCTTCTAGAATCTATCAGTGGCCCTTTAGAGAATATTACATGTGTTAGATTTCCCTCTTTCTCTTTTATGCTATTAATAGTTTCTTCTCAAATGAGTTAAGAAAGTTAATCAAGCACGGTGCCATAGACAATAACAACTACTTGTTAAACTTAGTCACATACTACTTTTGACCTTAGGAAGTTACTATTTAAGAATGTGTTAATTTGCTAGGGCTGTCATAACAAAATACTACAGACTGGATGACTTCAATAACAAAAACTTATTTCTCACAGTTCTGGAGTAAGGCAAGTGTGATTTCTTTGCTTGTACATGGCTGTCTTCCCCCTCTGTCATCACGTGGTCTTCTGTGTGTGTTCATCCTTGGTGTCCCTTTTGTATGTCCACATTTCTTCTTATAAGGGCACTAGACAGATTAGATTGCAGCCTACCCTAACAGCCTCATTTTAATGTACTCACCTCTTTAAAGGTCCTGTCTCCAAATACAGTCCCATTCCCAGGTACCAGTGTTTAGAGCTTCAGTACATAAATTTTAAGGGGACACAATTCAGCTGCTACAGAAGCCAAGAATGGAATTTGTATTCTCCTTATATGTAACCAGTGCATTTCATAGGGATTATATGAAAATTCTTTCTTTTTCTCAGATAATGTTATATACTGGGAAAAAGATAAGAAAGCTAAGACAAAAGAATTCCCACCCTTTATTCCTTGGGCACCTTCTGCTGAGACTGAGAAGACTTGCTATGTGTTGTTGGCTGTCATTTCCCGGAAAAATCGTGACCTCACCTATGCTAGTAAGATTGTGCAGTGGCTGGCCCAACAGATGGATTCCCACGGAGGCTTCTCTCCCACCCAGGTAATTGATATGGGCCTGCTATAAATACCAATGTATACTTTTTTATTTTGATAGATTTAGGAGGACAAGTGGTTTTTGGTTACATGGATGAATTGTATAACGATGATGTCTGGGTTTTTAGAGTAGCTGTCTCCCAATAGTGTACATTGCACCCAACAGGTAGTTTTTCTTCCTTCCTTCCTTCTGAGTCTCCAGTGTCCATTGTCCCACTCTGTATGCCCCTGCATACCCACAGCCTGGCTCCCACTTGCAAGTGAGAACATGTGGTATTTGGTTTTCTATTCCTGCATGACTTCATCAGGATAATGGCCTCCAGTTCCATTCAAACTGCTGCAAAAGACATTATTTTATTCTTTTTTATGCCTGTGTAGTATTCCGTAGTGTGTATATACCACATTTTCTTTATCCACTGCTTGGTTGATGGGCACTTAGATTGATTCTATATTTTTGCAATTGTGAATTTTGCTGTGATAAACATACGATTGCAGGTATCTTTTTAATGTAATGACATCTTTTCTTCTGGGTAGATACCTAGTAGTGGGATTGCTGGATCAAATAGTAGATCTACTTTTAGTTTTTTGAGGAATCTCCATGCTGTTTTCCATAGAGCTTGTACTAATTTACATTCCCACTAATAGTGTATAAACATTCTGTTTTCCTTGCATTTGTGCCAACATCCACTGTTTTGGGACTTTTTAATAATAGCCATTCTGACTGAAGTAAAGTGGTATCCCATTGTGGTTTTAAATTACATTTCCTTGATGATTAGTGATTTTGAGCATTTTTTCATATATTTGTTGGCCATTTATATCTCTTCTTTTGAAAAATGTCTCTTCATGTCATTTGCTCACTTTTCAATGGAATTATTTGTTTTATTCTTGCTGATTTGTTTCAGTTCCTTGTAGATTCTGGATATTAGTGCTTTGTCAAATGTATAGTTTGTGAATATTTTTTCCCATTCTGTAGCTTGTCTACTTACTTGGTTGATTGTTTCATTTGCTGTACAGAAGCTTTTCAGTTCAATTGAGTCCAGTTTATTTATTTTTGTTTTTAATAACATTATGTTTAATGCAGAAGATAATACTCTATAATAATCTAGATAGCAAAAATAATCACAAGAAATGCTTCCTGAAATGAGAAAATTTGATATTATAAATCCTATTCTATTTAGTCAACAGTTATCTACTGTACAGTTACTATGTATCAGGCACTTTACCAGCAAGTCTTTATAGAGAAATGAATAAAATGAGGCTCACTTTTCAAGGAATTTATGCCCAATTTATATCTCCATTGAATAAATAAAAATAGAATGTAAGTCTCTCTGAAAGAGATTTTCTTCATAAGTACCAGAGTCTTAGTGATGTGTTAAATGTCAGATGGTATGATGGTCAAACTGCATATTGACCAAAAAGAAAAATTTCTCTCTAATTCTGTGGTCTATACATTGGATAAAGCAAATGAAAGGAATACATAACAGAAGAAATGGATATGACATACAATGATTTATGTCTTTCTTTAATGAGAAAAATAATTAAAAGCACAAGAAAATGTACTCTCATTTCCACAAGGAAAATTTTTATTTTCCTCCTTTTATAGTCTTAGTTCTAGAGTAAAAGCATAGGCTAGTGAATCACCGAAGATGTTTCCTGATGCTGACTTCCCTTCTTTGAATATGAGTAGATATAAGAATTATCTATGGCATGTGGAGAGATTGGAACATTCTTAAACTGCTGGTAGGACTACAAATTAGTAAAACCCCTATGAAAATTAATTTGGACATATCTCAAAGCGCTAAAAATAGAAATACCACTTGATCCAGCAATCCCACTACTAGGCATCTACCCAAAGGAAAAAAAGATATTCTATATAATAAAGACATTTGCACTTGAATATTTATGGCAGCACAATTCACAATTGCAAAGATGTGGAAACAACCCCAGTGCCCATCAATACATGAATGGATTAATAAAATGTGGCATAAATACCATGGACTACTATTCAATTACAAAAAACAATGGTGAATTAACACCTCTTATATTATCCTGGATAGAGCTTGAGCCCATTCTTTGAAGTGAGGTATCACAAGAATGGAAAAACAAACACCACATGTACTCACCATCAAATTGGTACTGAGGTGCTCGCATGGAAGTAATATTCATCAGGTGCTGGTCAGGTGGGGGGTGGAGGTGGGTAAACTCGCAACTAATGGATGTGGCGCACACTGTATTGGGGAAGTGCACACCTGTAACCCTGGCTTGGGTGAGGCAAAGGCATTATATGTAACCAAAATGTTTGTACTCCATAATATTCTGATATAAAAATATTAAATTAAATTAAAAAAAGAATTATCCAAGGCTACCATGAGGTCACCAAATTATATGATATCTTAACTTTTAGAAAAAATTTAACACTGTTTTTAACAGCAGAGATTATATTTTATGAAATCCTTTAGAAAACTAAAATCTAAGATTTGTTGAAAAAGATTAATTTAAATGCAAGCAACTTGCATAAGCAAGTATATTTTCTTATTTTTCAGGATCTTGCCATGGTTGGTGTTCTCTTGACCTGTTTTAGGAACATTTCTATGCATTGCTTAAAGTTCATGGTCAAATGATGACTAATATTGTATAATATCTAAGCTTGGGTTATTATTTCTTGTACTGTTTTGTACAGGACACAGCAGTTTGTCTTCTTGCCATAACACTCTACAAGAAGTTAACCTTCTCTAATGATCAAAACACTGTCACCTTTAGCAGTGAAGGATCCAATGAGGTTTTCCAGGTTAACAGTGAGAACCGCATACTGGTCCAGCGTTCAGAACTAACAAAAGCACATGGACAATACACAGTAGATGTGGAAGGACAAGGTTGTGCATTTATCCAGGTAATAGAAATCTACCTAAAAGGGAAGTGAATGTTTGCCAATAAAAGAGTCAGATTATCTATGCAGGCATATAAGAAGTGTTATTTTGCCATTTCGTATATTTCCATGATTACTTGTTCTGTCATTTTTGTTTTCAAATCAATAGTAGAAAATGCAAATTATTTTATGAGGAGGTACTCACTTTTAGTATAGCTGGCTAACAGAAGTTTCTTAGGGAATATTGTGGTTAGAAAGTATTCTATCCTCATTAAATTGTATTGTTAAAGATTTTGTGTCTTCTGAAAATTAAACAATTTAATTTAGCCTAATTCCCTAATAGTAAATATGTAAAGTGCATTAATAATGGAAATAGAGAAATAACACATTCTTCAGTTCTTACTACAGGATGATTTTTTTTATGATTTGCTCTTCTTTCCAGGCCACCCTTAGGTACAATGTGCTAGTACCTCAGAAGGAATCTGGATTTTCCCTTTCCTTGGAAATAGTAAAGAATAACTCTTCAGATGTATTCCAGGCTAATTTTGGCCTTATAGTGACTCTCCAGTAAGTATCACATTTTGATATTAACTCCCAGGTTAGAGAGATGATAATATATTTATTAAACAGTAGTGAAATAGCAAAATATGAATGATGGTAACTACAATGAGTTCACATGCTGGTGGAGATATTTCTACAGCACAGTTATTTTTATAGTTCTCTGTATAGACAACACAACTTAGTATACCTTTAGCTAAATCAGAGTTAGAATTATGGAAGTATGATATGTACTACTCTTTTAGATTTGTACTTTTGATAACAGAAAAGCAAAATAATCTTCTTGAATTGAAATAAGATTTGTAGATGCCAAAGAGTTTTAGCCTTAGTTAATATGTGGGGAAACACTGAGTAAAATTAGTTTGGAAGATTTTTCCTAGGATTTCTAAATGAAAATCTCTTGCACACCAGAGCTAAGAGCTGAATATATTGTGGAACTTTTAACTTCATATCCCAATAAAACTATCCAGAGGCAAGAACATGACCTAGAAGATCTCTTGGAGACATGCGTACTCTATAATTCTGCCAACATACTGCGTTTTAAGCAAAAATTTCCTGTGTTATGCAAATCTAAAGCTAACCTAAATCTATGTAATATAAATTCATAAGCTTTGTTTATAAATTCCAGCCTTGAGACCTCAGATAAGCTTAGAAAGCAAGCAGAGCTTGGGGATATTTTAGGTCCGGATAATTTATTATTTGCTCCAATTATGTTGCTTTGTATCATGTCATCCACTATCAGTCTGGTTGTGCCTATTCTTAGATGTCTGAGAATGACTTACTTCCGGTGTTTCCTCATCAGCTTTTACCTGTTCTCTAGACTCTCAGCCAGTTAGTATCTATCTACCTGCCATCCTCACCATGAGATAAGTCCCTTTTCTGAATTGATGTCTAAACTAGTGCTTTTTTCTTTTTTTTTTAATTTTAAGATATACTGGAGTTCGCAATGACTCCAATATGGTCGTTGTTGATGTGAAAATGCTATCGGGATTTACTCCAGTCATGTCATCCATGGAGGAGGTAAATCACAGAAGCCTGGTCTTTCAGGCCAGAGAAAGTGATAGAGTACATAGATAAGATAAATAGTTGGTTAGCAAAACAAAACCATAGAATTCTTCATTTAAACAAACTCCTCGCATTTATATTTTTGCTGTAGCATTGGAGGGATGGTGTTCTTAAAGTGTAGCAATTAGCAGTAAATATTTCTCATGGTTGAATAATGTATTTCTTTTAGTTCCTACTTGTACTTATAGAAAAAAATCATGGCGCAAAGGAAACTACCTAAAATGGAATTTGACAAAATAAAAAGCACGAGCATTCAATTCTCTCATTTGTTCCAATATCTATTCCCCATCCTTTCCCGTCAATTTCTTCAAAGCTTGAAAACCGGGGCCAAGTGATGAAGACTGAAATCAAGAATGACCATGCCGTTTTCTACTTAAACAACGTAAGCTTAGCAATATTCTTTTTTCTTTAATGTCCTTCTTTTTTTTTTCTTCTGAAGGTGGTTGGATGCTTCCATTTCTTATAAATATGTCTGATAGGTTTTATTTTTTTAAAAAGTGAGACATTAAGAATGATCAATATTCTGTCCCACCAATCATCCTTTCCCTGTCAACTCTAAAGTTATTTCATATATGCCTTGACTACCTGGCTAGATAGTTCTCAAGTTTAAAAACATCATCTCCCCATTTATCCTTCCTCACAGCGTCAAACATAGCCGTCACAGAATAGACGTATGATTCTTTTATCATTTGAGTTAAACTCCACAAAGGTTGCTATGATTTTATTTATTTTTTTAAGATTGTATATTGAAGGTACCCAGTGTGATGTTTTGATATGTATAGGGAACTGATTATTATAATCAAGCTAATTAACATATCCATCTCCTCACATACTTATCTTTTCTTTCTTTGTGGTGAAAATACTTAAGATCTACTCTCTAAAACATTTTATGTATATAAGATAGTGTTGCTAACTATAGACCTCATGCTATATATGAGATCTCTAGAACTTATTCATTCTACTTAACTGGACCAACATCTCCCCATGTCCCCACCCCTGTTAACAACTCTTTTGGATTCCACTAAGTGAGATCCTGCAGTATTTTTCTTTTTGTGTCTGATTTATTTCACTTGATGTAATGTCCTCCAGGTTCATTAGGATTATTGCAAACGGCAGGATTTCTTTTTTTTATTAAGGCTGAATACTTTGTATGTATATACCACAATTTCACTGCCCTTACATCTGTCATGGACAGACACATTTGTTTTCATATCTTGACTATTGTGAATAATGCTACAATGAACATGGGAGTACAACTATCTCTTCTAAATACTGCTCTTGCTTCCTTTGGATACATACCCAGAAGTGGGATTGCTGAGTCATATGGTAGCTCTATTTTTAATTTTTGTAGGAAACTCCAAAATGTGGCATGAGTTTTAGAGCCATCTTTTCTATGGGTACATCATTATCAGTCACTTAAATGTATATGTTTTTCTAACACTTTTGACTAAATTCCTTGCACCTCAGTATATGCAATGGAACTTTAAAATGTTCATATGATTTAATAGTAACTGATTATTTTGTCATTATGTAAGGTAATAATACCCTAGATTTATTTGTGTAGGTTACAAACTTCTAGAGATAATTTGCATAGGGATTTTTTTTCATACCTGCTATGATATATTTATAATTTGTGTCTTTATAGGTTTTTAGAACACCAAACAGTTTCACTTTTTTTGTTGAGCAAAGCAACCTTGTGTGGAACATTCAGCCAGCCCCAGTCATGGTCTACAATTATTATGAAAAAGGTAGGCAAGCAACAAGCATGTCGTGACGCTGTTGAATGTGACTATGCCTAACATTTCCTGAGCTACTAAATTTTCCAAAACCGTTCTCTGTCTTCAAGGACTAAACAATAGATGATTTTACTTTGTATATTGATTTTTAAAATTCAATTATTTATCTTCTGACTGGGCCATTTTCCCTTTACCAGAGTTTTCCAATGCTTAGAATCTTTTTTATATAATGTGAAAGAGCTCCTCTTGAACTTGAAATATAAACCATGCTAAGCTTCCAGGTCTTTTTGTTGTTTTTGTTGTTCTTAATGCCAAGACTTATCATTTCATGCTATCTTTATGGACTTAGACTTAAAAAGGGGAGTGGGAAATATTCTGAAGTGTTATAGAAAAATTTTGACAGATTATGTTCCAAAACAATTACTAAGATGTTATAGAGACCATAAAACTTTTCTCTGGAAGGTTGGTGCTATTAGTTTCTTGAATGCCATACAAAGTTTGTTGAGTAATATTTGAATTCTGTCTCTGTCTTTTACTAATAGAATGTATTTCATCAAGTGGCTTAAACTTTATTAGGATATTTCTGAATTTATAAAATGGGGGAGTGTTCTCTCTTGCAAAATTATTGGAAAGATTATACTAATGTGTTTTCATTTTTTGACATAGTCTGGTTACAAACAGTTGGAAATTTAATAATGATGCATGATTCTTTTATTTTCCAGATGAATATGCCCTTGGCTTTTACAACATCAATATTACTTCAGTTTCCTAGTAAGACAAAAAACACAAGAAAAGGTAAAGAAATTATACACATCATAGGTCATTGAAAACACATCTGACAAGAAAATGAATAAATAACATAACATAGAACAGTGGTTGAAACAAAAGGAAATCTCTGGTACTTCATAAAGCTTGTGTAGCTGTGTGCACTAGATGAATATTCTGATAGTCATAAAGATTTTATTAACTTTTTTAATTAGCTTCAAAGGATTTACAGATATATATGTGCTTTTTACAAATCTCTTATTTTTTCATAAGTTGACAAGTCATTAAATATATATACACATATTAATATGTTTGTATAAGAGCATATATATGTGTATATGTGCATATTTTTATATATGTGTGTATATTTTTATCTATATCTGTCTATATATACACATTTTTTATTGTTTAAATTATGTTTTAAATCACAGGTGGAAAACTATTTCTTTGGAAAACTCATTCTTCTGTATCTAACTTGGGAGAGAACCATGAACCACTTCATATCCTGAATAATCTGCAATCTGCTATAAGTTTCCAGCTTTTATTTCTTTACCTATCCCATTAAATGGTGTCATTTCACATATGAGTCTATGATTTTTTTTTTCCTTTTCTTCGAATACTTCATTCATATTTTCATTCTAGGAAATTCAGAGCTTTGTTTGATTGCACCTTGAATAATTTGCTTTGTTTTTGTCAACTCTGAACTCAAGTTTTTAGACATTATGACACACAGAATTGCAATTCTTCAATAGCTAGAGAAAGAGAAAGAGAGGGAGAGAGAGAAGAGGTGGGGGAAGGGAGATAAAGAGACTAAGTGGAAGTTGAAAGAACTCCATCTGAGCTCATGGAAACAAAAATAAACACACACAACACAACAAAAAACATAGACTCTTCTCAGTGAAAGATTATCAAAAAGTAGGAAAAAATGTAAAAAAAGATCACAAATTAAGTGATGGATTTATTGAGTTTGTATACAAGATTCAGAGGGTAATCTAAGAGCATTTTATCTTTTTGAAATTAATTTTTTGAGCTTATCACATTACTGAAAAGTAATATTCAATGTCTAACATTTGCTTGATTAAACACTACTGTTAGAGGGGGCAAGAGCAATATATATAACCTTAACATTTATACCCCCACAATATTTAAAATAAAAATAAAATAAACACTACTGTTATAGCAATGAATGAATTCTAAGGAGAGAGGGGCAGAAGGAAACTGGAGAAAGCAGGGATGGAAATAAAAACAATTTCTCTGCTAACTTGTACACAGGCTTCTGAGTCTGGTAAGATACTGCTACTGACAAGAAAAAGCTATAGATAAGTTCTCCTGTTTTGGAGTTAAAGCATTTGGAATCAGAATCTCCTAGACTCTATCAGTATTTAACAAATAAAACATATAAAATATTCTAAAAGAAGATGGTTAGATGTACTCATTCTTGTAGTCTTCCTGCCCAATGTGTATTGCTTATAGTGCCTAAATTATAGCTAAGCCTTTTGTTGTATGTTTAGTAATTGATTTATGATAGATAAACAGCTAGTGTCCTTCTGTGTTGGTGCTGTTCATTTCAAAGTGTTAAGAATTTTTTATGCCTTTTCAGTTCTCCTATTTTCCCAAAGCATGGCATGTCAGACATGTATGTAAGACATTAGCATTCTTTTTTTTTTTAGGCACCCCAGGCGCTATAGATATTCAAGGATTCCACTCAAGAAAAATATGACTACTCTGGTACACTTTTGTGATAAAGGTTCAGAAAAATGAAGGGAGTTTACATTTTGGTATATGATATCCCTTTGTGAGAAACCATTTTTTTCCCTCAGTAGATCAATCTTAGTCCTCATTTTACTTATGTATTCAATAGTTAGCCTGATCACATAATAAAATTGTTTCTCAAATTATAAGCAAGCAAGGAGGGCACGGTGAAGTCAGCTACTTGCTATATCTCAAGGCACAGAAAAAGTCTTCGGTTTAATGTTACTTTTGCAAAATTTCTTGGTGTTACAATGAGTATGGGAAACTGAGTAACAAGAAACTGATATCAAAGTACTATCTAAAAGAATAAAGAGATTTAGATGAACAACACAGGTCTGTTACTTGTCCTTTTCATTGAAACATCTCTTCAGTTTCTTTTTGAATATGGTACCAAAGTCATTTCCCTAGTCCAAATTTTAATAGAAAATGAGATATAATGGATATTCTATTAACAGTTCAGCAGTGTTGAATGGGAAGTAACAAGATTTGATGTGAGTGTGTGTGTGTGTGTGTGTGTGTTTAAAAAGAGGTAAACAAGTAAACCAGGCCACCATGGACTGTTTCATGGAGGGTGTGCAGCCCTGATTTGTATGGGGCTTGTGTCATTGAAGCATCACATGGCACTTGATCATAAGTCCCCTTTGGCAGTGATTGGAACCCACAGGTCAGTTTCCACAAAACATGGACTCTGAGATGGAGATTTATGTGGGGAGAGTTTATGGGAGAAAACTCTGAAGATCAACACCTGTGGGAGATGAAAGAAGCAGGACTGTACCAGAAGAGGAGGTGAACTACAGTGCAGTCCCAATAAAAGTCTCAGTATATCCCATGGGGAGCTACGGTGTGGGGATGGCCCCTCAGAGCTGCCCTAATTGAAGGCGAGGGAGCCAGGCCTTTATACCAACGCACACCCGTTACTGCACACTGAGCTGCCCCTGGGGCGGAGGGGGGACCTGGGTGAAATGTCTCTCTGGTGCTGAGAGAAATTCTCAGAGCTGAACTTATCTGAGAGCCAACAGGCACCAACATTGCTAGCAACTAGGGCTGTGAGCACCTCTGCCATGCGGGGAGTATCTCAAGGGCACACCGAGCATCACTAATTTGGTCTGGCAATGAGGGATGCAAACCATGAGCTGTACAGGTGTGTTTCCTGGTAGAGCATCTGCAAAGATTTGGCTCTTTGGTTAAAAGAGGTGGGGAAGGGGTAAAAAGAGAGAAAGAGGAAGAAAAAGAGGAGGAGGAGGAGGAGGAAAGAAAAGAGAGATGCAGGAGAAGAAAACTCTTTTTCTGCTAACTTTTGTTTTCCGTAACGGGATACAGTTAGCAAGACATAATCTCTGGTTCTTCAGGAGTCACACTGTGACCAAAAAGGCAAATGACACTGATACACCAAGGAAGTATAGCAGAAAGAAAGAAACTTCTTGATGGCATTAGTGAGCCCCTTAACCAATCCAGTAGCACCGTTCTCAGAATTTGTACCAAAGGAGACAATAAATGCTTGATTTTTTGAAGTCGCTATTAGTTACGTGTTCTGTTACTTGCAGCTGATAAAAGTATTCTTATTTCTCTTTTGTTTTCAGTACCTTTCCTCTTTTTTCCTATATCATTATCACACAGAACTTGTAATATCTCATCATTTCAGTTCTTTCTAGACTACTGATTTCAGAGAAATCATTGGGGAGAGGACCTGGCCAACATGAAGCATTCATTGCCCATAGTAATGCTCTTTACTATGACTAGAATTTTGGTGTGTGTGTGTGTGTAATACTATGCGTCAGTCACTGTTCTAATCACTTGAAATATATTACTTATTCAATTTCCACAACAAACCTATAGGGCATGTTATAATCATTGTTATTCCCATTTATAGACAAAGAGAAGCCTAGGGAAGTTAGATAACTCATCCACGGTCAGTCATAGAACCAAGGCCCACACACTGGCTGTGAGGCTCCAAGGCCCTTGCCCTCCTTCCTAACTGCCTGGCAAGGAAAGGAAGGAAAGTTTGACACACGAACCAAATTCTTAATATGCCTGTATTTAAAAGTCAGGGTGAGTAATTGTAGCTTCCTGACAGTTACAACAGAAGTATAACTTTTTTTTTTTTTTTTTTTTGAGACAGAGTCTCGCTTTGTTGCCCAGGCTAGAGTGAGTGCCCTGGCGTCAGCCTAGCTCACAGCAACCTCAAACTCCTGGGCTCAAGCAATCCTCCTGCCACAGCCTCCTGAGTAGCTGGGACAACAGACATGTGCCACCATGCCAGGCTAATTTTTTCTATATATATTAGTTGGCCAATTAATTTATTTCTATTTATAGTAGAGACAGGTCTCGCTCTTGTTCAGGCTGGTTTCGAACTCCTAACCTTGAGCAGTCCTCCCGCCTCGGCCTCCCAGAGTGCTAGGATTACAGGCGTGAGCCACCGCGCCCGGCCAGTATAACTTTTTTATGTAAAATGGTCACATCCACCGCAAACCTTTCCCGGCACAGTGCGGTTCCTTCCTGAGAGATGACCTTTGCCCCACTGGCAAAATGTTTCTGGGAAGGTTTTTGACTTGTTGTGACAACTTAATGCCAAATCAAACAAGTTTACAGCCCTTTATTATGTCCAGTCATGGTCATTCAAAAGAGAACACGGAGCTGCTCCCCTGACACAGCCCCACCACAGGCCTGTGGGTCTTCACACAAAGAGAGGTCTTAAGGGAGAGACAGACGAGCATTGTTTACCGCCCACTGCTGAAATTCCTGCCTGGAGCTTCTGGACAGAGCGCTTGGCAAGGACAACTTCTCGTTTGTCATATGACTCATGGCAAGTTGTTGGCAAATTTCCCCTAAGCCCGAAGTTCCTTCTGCCTAAGCAGGAACAAGAAATGTTAGGCAAAGTGAAGACAGCCAAAAGTTGCGAAATGATTAGGATTCATTCCAAAACTTCTAGATTTTCTTTGGAACTCTTTTTTTGTAATAATTGTAAAGAGGTCTTTTCCCAACATAGTACTTTTATAGTTGTCATAGAACCCATCTCTGCTTTACAGAACAAGGCAATGTACTTTGGAATATATGTGAATAGAAAAACAGGGATTTTCCACAGGCAGGAAATGGTATTGCCGGTTTTCCTGACAGACAACCCACACCATTGTTTTCTCCACTTTGTACATACCCTTAATTTTACTAATGACATCTTTCCTTTCTAAGAAATCATGAAATCTTTTCCCACAGTATAAGGGGATTTCCTCCATGCAATAGACGGAGAATCGGAAACAACAGCTCTGCGTCTCCTATGTAAATAACATTGTCATGATGTTTATCCTAAAACAACTTGTATATGTCTGTGTTCATGTGTACATATGTCTTTCTGTTATTCTTACTGTTTCACATTTAAACAGTTAGATGACTTTACTAAATTTCAAGGTATAGTAGGGCGATCTATATTTAGACTCTCGAAAAATTTCCCTTTCCAAGTTTACTACGAATTTTTTGTAATGGTTTTTGTCTTCAGACATTCTATCTCTTCATAAGTAAATGTGTTAGCTTATAAATCTAGATAATTTCCCATTAAGTTTAGGTTTTAAAATAGTTCACTTAAAATATTTATGTTCACTTATGATTTGAAAAATTAAATCTATCAATTTATTTCTCCTTTTTTATTTCTAGTCCTGTTTGGTTTTTTTCCCATTAATTTTTGGGTTTGTTAATCATCTTTATTTTTATGTTATTTTAAATGACTTTTATTTCATCATTTATGTTATATTCTTTCCTCTACCTCCTCTGAGTTTTTGCATAGCACCCTGTTATGAATACTTACGTTAAACTTCCATGTTTTCAAATTTATACAT